CATATGTAATTCATTCATGCCAATAAATGTGTTGTCACGAATTTCCATTAGTCGATCGATAACAGCTGGACTGTGTTGTTAATAGCAGTGTGCTGGGTTGCCAGACCCCAGCGATCAAAAAAAGCCAAATCAAGACATAAAAAAGCCAGAAAAAGCCAACAATTTTACTAAGTACAAAAGACCCATGATTTGTCAGATTTTAAGCCCTTGGCAACGTACTGATGATGATGTAGAGCCATCAGTTCTTTCAGTGAGGCACACAAATAGAAAGTGAAGTTCCTATAGAACTGTAGAAAGTAAAATAAATATCAAGCGGGCAGCATTATTTTACCATTCAATATATACCATACAGGGTGCCGCTTCAGTCTGTCAGTATGTAATATACCTACAATATGTTTCTACTTAAACTTGTGCTACACCTTGAAAAATTCTCCCTATATCGTACTTTACTATTGAAATATTTTTCACTTTTAAAATTTATAAACCATCAATTTTATTAAAAAATTATCTAACCCCTGCCGCTCACATGTGGATCACTGATATCTAATTCAGTAATTTTAGCGTAGTTAATCACATCGTTACTGCAATTGCAATTGCAGAATTAAACTATAGCTGAAAGCTCACATAACCCATATCAGGCATAATGAAAATTGAGTTATACAACTATTTTTTGGAAACAGAACGTAAACTGACAAATAACACGAAAAACTATAAAAACGAGGCAATGTTTACAACCCTGCTTGAACTGCACTTATTTCTTATTGGGTATGGTTAAGAGTTAATGTAACAAACAAGGAAATCGATGCTCCAGGAAATCCTAATGTTAAGTAGCTAAGTACAGGTAATAGGCTATTGTTCAGTTGTTACACACTAAATATTGTATTTCATTTGATTTTAATAATAGACACTAGAATAGACTTGAAAAAAGCCAAAAAAAGGCCAAAAAGCCAAACGGAAATTCTGACGCCAAACGCGTTTGAAAAAAGCCCAAAATGGCAAATTTGGCGTTAAAAAAGCCAATATGGCAACCCTGGCAGTGTGCACCGGAAAACAAAGTATACAAATTAAATTGATAGAACTGACCATTATTGGGATTCTACGTTTATCTGGTAGTACCGTAGGGCGTAGAAATTGGCAATTTGTATTTGGTCCATACAAAAGTGTGACTGGGTATCATCATGTATTGACTAAATATTTTATCAAACAGTCAATAAACGAAATAAAGTGGTAAATACTTACTCTAGGATCAGTTTTTCAAAGCCTTCTGACGGGCGGTCAGTACCGGTACGATCATTACATAAAACGCCGTGGCTTTATCCCCTCACATTCAGAACTTCTTATGCATTAGCATGTTTAACAATACATTATTGTTTCAATCGTTATTAAAACAGAGGTTGGACCGTAGTAGTATATATTTACGGTTGAACACCTTACTCGCCAATGGCGAGGGAGCTAATTTCTGGAATGAGTTTTCACGTCATCAAAGGCCGTTTCCAAATCTGGGTCGATTTCCGTTGGAGCGGTTTTAAAAATTTATAAGTAGAGGACTAAGTCTACTTTATGCAAGCGTAAACGTTAAAAATCTTAAAAAAATATATAGAATCAAATTTTCCACAAAAATGTTCGCGTTATAACCCATCTTTAAAGAGAATGCACATAAAAAAAGAAAGACTTTTCTTTTTGGCCCTACATGGACCATTGCAAGACAGAGAAGAGAGCGAACAGAAAACCCACCTCACTCGTAACTATAGGGTAATACCAACCAAAATGCTTCACAGCCTGCAACAATTTCGACATTACAAAGCACAAACGAGAATATCGGTTGGAAACCGAAGACTTATCGATCGATAGTTAGGGGATCCCCCAAAACAGAAACTGCAGTTTCGATTCATCCGCTCTTGTAACTTGCGCACTGCGCATCGCACACACACACTCGGCGGGTTTCAAAATTCTCTCGCTTTACAAAAATCTAGATCACTATATCAATAATTGATTGATAACTCGCTAATTATACGACATAATTCGCCCAAAATCAATAGGCTTCTGGTCCGAGATAAGATGAATGCACATGCAAAATCTGGAGCAGATTCAATCTCGCTTTCGTGAGATATCGCGTGCATCTAACAGACACACCGACAGGCAGACAGACATACATACAGACAAATACCTATCAATATACTTACCGATCTTAAGATCGATAAGTAACAATCAAAATGCCGTACAACATGCAACGACTACAAAAAAAAAACAGGCATACGAAGCACAAACGATCAAAATGTCTTACAACCAGAAATGACTATGAAAAATACCTCACACGGCACCACAACCAACGACAACATGTGTGACAATACGATTGATTTCGTTACGAATATATACGAGTTTTTCTCCTCCACCAAATCAAATGACCTAAAGGGAATTAGCAACTGGTCGGAGTGCGAAGTTGCGGGAAACATTCTAAGCCCTCTGTCAACTCCGCCGAATCAGCCGCAATCCAAACCAAAAAAGCAGTCGTCCAGACTCGAACAGACGTCGACGAAACAGACATCCTCCTGGTAATGCTGCATAACAACGAGGCTCGTGACATCTCAACATCCTTCGTCTTCGACACCACACCCGACGGAATATTCTCAGCACCAGCCACCCTGTGCTGGAATACAATGTATCACAACCAAAAACTATGGACTCAACTCAGTCAAAACTGGATAACTCAGACTACACAAACAAAAGACACCGTGAAAATACCTCATCAGATTTCTCTTTCTCAACTTCCTTGGAAGTTAAATTGGCTGGAAAAAAGTGAGTGAAAAAAATGACAGTGAGTAAATTCGGACCCCACAAAATCAAATTTCATAAATGACATAAAACTAAACAAATTTCGGTAATATCATACCACATATATATACCGGTTGTGGTGAAAGGAAGTCTACCTCATAATGTGGTATATGAAATGGTGATCTCTATTGAAGAGAGAATCATCCATAAAACATTCGTCGGCATAGTCTGGGTATGAAGGCATTGGGCTAGATTCAAGACTGTCCTGATCCATAATATATATATATATATATATATATATATATATATTTGCGTCGAAGCTTGCGGCGTCGTAGCAACTCAACATAGCAGTGAAGCCCTTTATACCAATATGTGAAAGAGTTGCCACAAAGCGTTACACATTGTTTGCCATCCAAGTTTTAACCTCATAAACCGATTCTGATGCATCGGAATCGATTCTAGTCCACTCCGCGAAGAAACGAATCCGGACTCGATTCCGCCATCCCTACTTAGGACCCATAAACATCAGCATCCGCACACGTATAAGATAAAGATAAGTTTATTTCGACTCCATAATCAGCATAAAAGGCGATAAAATGATTGATAAAAATAAATAAATAAAAACTGTTTATGAAATCAGGAGAGCAAACAAAACCTTGGTTAAGATTTAAAACGTACATAATATACGATAGATTTTTTTTGTAAAAACTGAACTAAAATGAACCACAAATTTAAAACGGGATATTCACACAATTTGAAGCAGTGCACACGATAGTCACAGATGAACGCTTTCAATTGAGGCGAATCAACGAAGCATGTTCAATGTAATTTTTTGGGGTAATTAGCCTCGTCATGTCTGCCAAGCGTGACGTCGTTAATTAAGTAAGATGTGAATCAACCCGATCCTCGCCAGTAGTCGTAGTTCAGGGGGAGCGTGGGGACATTATCAAACATTAGGACAGGTATGAGTCCATGAGCAATGCACAGGATCGGTCACGAATTGCGCAGTTGTAAATTGTACTCATTGAGATTTTAACGCCGACCTTGGGATTTTTGTAATGACGATATCTTGCTTAAAAATAATCTTGAAGGCTGAAAAACAACACAAACACAGATCGCATGAATACGATTCCAATCTATTTAATGTTCGCATTTTAGCACGCATTTGATGTTATTTTAGAGTACAGGGTGTTCAAGAAGTACCGCAAAATTTATTCCTTGGAAGTTAAAGAGCACGCCGCAATCGTCAGCTATAATGGCCGAGTAGTTGAAGCGTTGGACTTGGAATCCGATGGGATATTTCCGCGCAGGTTCAAACCCCAAAAACAAACAACAGAAAATTTTCGGATTCCGATTTTAGTAAGTCTGGCTGCTGCCTCGACGTTATTTCAACAGACGTTTCATCGAACCCCCCTTCATAACATTTGCGTCGGAATAATATGCAAATTGCGCCAGAAATTGAAGATCAGAGGGGTGCAAGATACGCTCCCGTACGACATGGAAAAATTTCCCATGTTCCAACCCAATTCTGCTCTTCATAGCAGAATTTTTAATTTTTTTTTCGCTTCGGAATTAAACATAGAAAAACGCTTTTCAATCAGTTATTAAAGCAAGAATGACTCCATTTCATAAATACTTCAATTATAGCATGGGCTTCTTAATAAACTATTGGATGTTTTGCTTTAATTAATGTAGTGGTTCTTAACCTTTGTGAGCAAGCCGAACCCCTGCGGTATTCTCCAAGCCTCTGTCGAACCCCAATCGTATGGAACGGCTGAAACGGCGTGAGCAATGAGAGTTTATAAATGGGAAGCTAATTTTGCGCAAGGTTTTGAAATGGATCATTATGGTGTAAACTAAGTTAGGATACAAATAGCATTAGCAAGTGAGTGCTAACGTACGGGTGAAAGTGAACCAAGTGCGAAGGTGCTGTTACAATTACCATTGTTAATATATTTATTACGGAGTTCAAAATTGAAATACTTCTGTAAACGTAGCGCTACTTGACGTAGTATGGCGAAATTGTGAATATTGAATTAAGAAAGCATTTGGTACGGCTGTTCCCCATGCAAAACTTTCTTCAGCAACCCCTTTGGTGTTGCCTTCCTTTGAAATTGGATAAGGCTTTTTAAACACGAGGAGTCAAAAATGAAAGTCTAACTCTAAGAAGCATTGCGTTATGTTTCCAAGACTAAAAATCACTATCGTGACCAAATTCACCCACAATGAAATATGTTCAAAATATTATTTCATAATATATTTACAGACAGAAAAAAGATTGTAAGTTGCAAAGTATGACATGAAACAGATTTCTAAGTAAGTATAATCACATATTGAATATTTTGAAACTAAATTAAAAGGTATAATCGAAAGCATATTAATACGACAAAAATGCAGATTACAGTGTATAATCAAATTTTATTCCAGTGCCAGCTAGTCTTTCTTCTATAATTTTGTCCATAATTTCAGACTGTGCAACAGTAAACTGATCTTTCCATCCACCTACAGTTCCTGTGTTGCACATATCAAATTTTTGAGTGATAACGAGTTCATTGAAAACAAACGTTGTGTAAAAAATGTTTTAATTTAGTCTAATCAAAGCTTTATTGATATTGCACATTGATCGAGGAGATGTTCATAAAGTCTTACCTTTTCGCACGTTCATCTTTAAAATTCCAGTTTCTTCTGTTTCTGCCCGTTTCTTCATCGATCCAATTGAACAAGCATCAGAAATTCTCTCAACGTCAATATCATCTAGCTCAACTTCCAAAAACTTTGCAATTCTCCGAATTTGGCCAGCAAAGTCCTACAATATGATAACTGGCTTAAAAAGGACGATACTGAAGTGATGAGGTACTTGACAAATAGGGAAATAGTTAAATGAAAAAGTCTTCTTTCACATTTAGTACGTGTTGTAACTCTCCGTATTATCTTACAGCCAGTTTTGATATCCGCATGCTTGTGGCATTATGCTAGAATTGAAGCAAGTATAGCCCAAGTAATTTAACTAAATTCATCCATGATCCAAACCATACATCAAGTAGCAACTAAGCATGTCAATTTACCCTTTTCATATCTTCATAGACTACCACAAGAAAGTTATCATCATCTTTATGTTTCATCCATTCCCGAAGATTATCCGGATAGAATCGTCCTTCTTTAGTACAATTTAAATGTTCGCCTGAAATTTTTGTCGCGCATTGAAATTAACAATAAAATAATCCTGACTATCTAGAAGAAATTTTTGTGTATAGCTAGAAAAGTACTTCACTCTAATCAACTAAATCTACTCACCATTGACGTATTTACTAAAAAATTCATTCCAATCTTCTCCCATTTCCTTTTTCAACGAATCAGGGATCGGAATTTTCTTTGCAAAATGAAACCAAGAAACAGCTTGATCTTTTGGGTTTCGCATCACATAAATCACCTGTAATTCAAACTATGAACATGACCACTTCTCAAAAAATAATCGTATAATTCGTTTGCATATGCGCTTGCTGTCGTGCTTTATCTATATCCAATTAACATTGATGTAAGACTAAGAGTTGTATTATATTGAAAATATGATTTCTTCACGGCATATTTACCGTATATGAAGTCCCTCGGGTAGATGCACTCGCATTGGTGACTTAACAGTGTCAAACAGTATACTGCGTTCAAAAAGTGAGAGTCGACAATATAAATTAACAGGTATGTATATATATATATAGTCTTGCTACCTTGCTATTTGATTTTTTGACTCTTTCATGATTGAATATCCCTTCAGCAAGATGAGTTGTGTATACTTGCCTTGGAATTGGTAGTTTCTTTAGCACCTCAAATTTTTGCCCTGAAAAAGTTTTGGTTGAACATCTTTAAACTTAGTTATTCAACTTATTATATGTGAAGTTAACTAGCGACGAATGAATTTGGGAAGTAATTAGGGTATTCTGATGATCATGGTAACTCGATTAGCTTCCAACGCAATAGCGGTTGGAGCCAGGTGGGCATCGTAAAACGTGTTCTACTAACGGTAAATTTATATTTTCAAACAAACAAAATGCAGATTGGAAAAATATGGGTCTTTGAAACTTGTTTGGATCAAAGTAAACAAACATTAGTTTACTTAAGGTTGGTCTATTGAGAACTAGAATAAATTGGATGCTGATCTCACATAAACCACAAGCAGTAGATTGGTCAAAATGGGTCATTGGAACTTACCTGGATCAAGGTCAAAAAAACTGTTTACTTGGAGTCGGTCTTTTGAGACCTAATATCATGGCTTCTGATTGCCGATGAGGTTATGTAGTGATTTAAAAACACAAACCAATTCATATATTTTTGATAATTTATTGCGGTTACACTTCTTGTATCCCGCGTTTTAGTACCTAAGTTTAGTGGCTCTATACTTTGGCCAATCATAGAGGTACACTTGGGTTTCAGGCGGCCTCATAGATAATAAAAAAGTACTAAATACCAACTTACTGTTGCCCATTTCTAGTACGAAGAATGGCATGGGGAGTGACTTCACCAGGTCATAAAGGTTTGCATTCTTGCTGTACACGATCTGTCGTACGACTTCGGTACACCAAACAGTCCCTGAATCAACAGCAAACGCACGAGTAAGCAAAGCGAGCATACAGGTCGCCTATCTCCGAGACAAATAATATTTGCCTAGCATTATTCTTTCAAGGATAAAAAGTGTCCAAAATGAATAATAAATAATCGATTATGGTCAATTTTACCAGACGAGCATTCACCTTTATTGGTTTTAACCATATGACGCGAATGAATCAGCGATATATATATATATATATAAATCTATGGGTAGAATACTTTAGGTCGTTAAAACATATTTGCGCCAACGGCCCTATTGCACATTTACCAACACAGCTTTGTCGATTACAGAGACTTGAGACTAAAAGTTAAATCAATAATAGCCGTAAAGTAAAATATGTCATTTAGCAAATTGTGTAAGTTTTTTTAACCATTTTTAAACATACCTGTTTTTGGAAAACTTGACACAATAACTGAATTTTCAGGCGTTTCCCATTCTTTATGAACATACTCCGTTGCCTCTTTGCTAAATGGAGGGATTGTACGGTAGCCTTGGTATTCGAAAATGTTTTCGGTAACCTTCATTTCAGAGTTTCCTTGACTGAACTTTGCAGATAGTTGTTTTATCATGAACTGTATGTCATCGTTTATCGTGATCTGTTCCATTTTTTGGTTTCGGGTGTCAATTTTTTAAACTTTATTTCGTGTTAGCTGGAAGTAATAATATTCGGTTAGTATGTGAAGCAAAGAGCTCAAAATCCAACACCAATAGTCATATCGTTCAAACATAAATGCACGGACGAATTACTAACGTATATACGGATCTCTTCATGGGAGAAATGACCGAGAACTTGTTAATTATTTGCTAATCAAGTATCCGTCCTATCTGTTCGCCACTGAAGCAGCGAATGATACCATAGCTAGCAGTCGGCTTATATAGCTTTTGAATCGACGCAAAATTTCTCTCGATTATAATGATGAAAAATTAGAGCAAAATTACCGCCACGTAACAAGAGGCGACGCCACACATGATGACGTGATTCGCCATCGCGTACTATCCACGTTGATAAAAATGACGTCGAATATTTACGTCATAAGTTGAGTAGATAGAAACGAAGTTAGCACTAAACACTCCGGCAAACAGTAAATCACATGTCATGCTTATTATGATATTGACATTGGATATCGCAAACTTATAATCTCATGACTCGACACAAATTTTCCCTTTATATTTCAACATACTTTTCTTTACTTTATGAACTACTTAACGTTAACGAGAATAACACTGACATACTAAATTGTTGACATAATTAGCCGCGCTTGAGTACATTGGGGTCGTTACCGTGTATTTCAATATTTTAACCAGGTATTGTTAATAGTGCAGGTTATTCGCCTGAAACAAGGTCGTTGCTCTAATTCATTTCCTTCATTATTTATTTCCCTCGCTCAGTGTTGATTGTATTTACCGTTCCTTGTTAGTTAGAAATTTGGTTTCATCACGTAACTGCATTGAGGTTTTAAGTGTAATTTGTTATCTGTTATTGGGATAAATTTAATTGTGCATCTTTACAATATAAAAACATTTGGCATTCAATCTATTGTGTGCTCATTGACTTCTGAGGAGTTCAGATCGGAGTTGCACTCTGTTAACGTGTGTTCAATAACACGGGAGTGTGGACACGCAGATAGGGTCATAGCCCCCTATAATTACACTTCACTTACCAAGGAGTTCTCAGGCGAAGCGAAGAATCACCGACATGTTAGTTTAACGATTTCTTACTTTTTGGTGTGATAAGGCGACCTTGCGCATTTATTGCGTGGTCGCTTTAGTTTTAATATTTTATATTTATACAGTTTTACAGCCAATTTCTGGAATATTTAAAGCACATTGAAAAGATCAAGCGTTCGTACTGTAGGTATCTATGTCCGAGTGACCAAAGTGTTGATCGGGACAAACATACCAACGACGAGGCACCATTTTTATCCCGGAAGGACTAACTGTGGAATATAGGGGGGTATGTCTAATTCGGTTCCATTACATTTGAACCCACGTACATTTGAACCCATGACAATTGCACCTGTATGCTATTGCACCTATGGAATTTTTTTTGTTTCACGGATAGTTAAACCCATACTAACCCTAACCCATGGGTTTAAGCACCCGCATATAGATTGAACCCGTGGATATACGCATGGGTTCAAATGTACATGGGTTCAAATGTACGGTCACCGTCTAATTCTGATATTGTTGGATTTACAAAAACATCACAATTTTGTAATCTCTCCATTTATATGGATGACGTAAGAAGGCGTCATTTTCGAAAACGTGTGCAAGATGCTGCCGAATACTTTCAGTCGAGTGTATAGTCCAGCCGCGTTATTGATATAGCGAGAGACGGTAATTTCTCTCGTTTCAAATAAAAGTGAGAAAAGTGTGCAGGACGTGGTAAATTAGTGATACTTTCAGAGAAGTGGCGTAGACCAGTGTTTCCCAACCTATGGGTCGCGAGCCAAAACTGGGTCAACTGAAATTCCTCTTGGGTCGCTTGTTTTTTAGGAAAAATCTAAAAGTTACTGATTTCTGTTTGTAGTAAATTTTATTATTTATTCAATATTTGATATTGAAGTGTATCACAGCGCAAGAACTTGACAGCATCTAGTTTGCCTGAAGCAATGCAATGATTTCAGTAACTCGCTGATGGCAAACCATTTATTAGTGCGAGTTTGAAAGTTTTGTTGGAATGAATGTTTTGTAAAAATTATGGTTTTGTATAAGTATTTGATTCTGTGGCCATAAACACACTACACGCGATTTGGTACCGCATGGGAGCATATCGTTGAGTCGCGAAATTTTACAAAATTTATTTTCATAAATATTTGAGTCGCTTGAAAAAAAAGGTTGGGAATCACTGGCGTAAACTACTGTCAAATATGTGCTCAGTCTAAATCATTCAGTTCTGGGGTTCAAGGGTCTTTGTAATGGGTAAAAATAAAGCAAAGTCTTGGTTGTTTGAATTTTAGCGCACTAGATATGGAGAAATATCCACCTAAACGAAGCCGTGATCACTATTCCGTTAAAAATTAATTTAAAAGCAATTGTCTACTTCTGTATCGTGCTTATTCTGCTGCGTAGCTGATTAAATGATTCTTATGGCCCTTTCTAAAGAGTACAACATTTTCTACAAATATATTTGGTTGGTGTATAATGAAGTAATTGATTAGGGGTTTGTATGATCAACTCGATGACGCGATGCGAGAAATACAGACATTTCCTCACAAGAAAAAAATGCTGCCTTTGTGCACAGTTTTGATGGCTTTCTATCACACACCCACCGGTAACCATTGTTCTGGGATTTTCTGCTCCTACACTCATTTGCAACCATTCAGTGCTACCGAATGATTTTCATTTTGTGATTAGCCATTTTTATTAACTTTGATGTCGGTTAAAATGCAAAGTTGTAGTAGTGGAAATTCGAAGTCGTTTTTACTTTTCAGGTATAAAGCATTACCTGAGACAGTCGGAAAAATCACAGTAAGAGGTCTTTATGTATACTTTGACAGTATTTGTTTACTGTTGACGCTATTTTCCCCCCAATTTTACTAATCACCCGTCTTTCACAACACGTTGTCCTTTTTGCATCAAAATACTTGATAGGTATGGAAAATATGGCATAAATATTTGTGGTTCGAGATATTCGTGGAGCGATGTTCAATTACGGTACTCAAATTAATAGACTCCTCAAAATCGGATAACCGTTTTGTCATGTTTTGCTTCTAAGACATAGTGGCTTGGGCAGTATATATATCTTTGTTCTCGAACTATTTAGGATAAGAAGTAATTTTGCCAATTATTGAGCCTTGAAATAGAAGAAAATAGACGAATCCGCTTTACACGTGGTTGGATTTCAGTGAAGACAGTGATTTAATCAGTAGCGGATGATGAAAATGTGCCTAAAAAGGTTAAAGACTACGCCTTGATGTCGGAAGATGAAATGACAAGGTGTGCCCTGGTATTAATATTCCACACAAAACCGTACAGTTCTACTAGGACTGAAAAAAGTTTCAATAGGCTGTGACGTTTACATGTCTGGTAACTGCGTTGTAGATGCAATGGCCAGTGATCGACGAGAAAATAAAAAAAAGTTCTATTTCAAATACTATACAATTATTTATTTCTCAGCGATTCAGACTTTCGGCGATATCGATTGTCTCAAATCCGACCCCCGTAAAATGCATAAAATAACATGTACAACTGCTTCAAAAAAAGTTTAATGTATGGTGACGGTGAGCAAATGTTTTCTGTGAATTTGGGTTGAGAACAAATTCAACCCCCAAATTCACTTAGCTTACAGGGGGAGGGGGGCAATATGTTGTGTTGAATGGATGATGAGTTGCTACACAACTTGGATACTGTAAATAATATATATTGTTTTCCCGATCTCGGCGCTAGTGTCAGCGGGGTCATCAAATTGACTGATAATGGAGACAGAAATCGACAATTGGTTCACTTCCATAGCTCTTGAGGTTTGTTCTTGCCAACAAAATCTATTGTATTGGAACGACGATACAAAATCGTCTACTAAGGTAAGAAATGGAATCTGACAAAGGTTTGAAAACACGAAGAGAGGTATTTTATCCGGAAAAATGAAGGAAAATGAAGAATTACGAATTGTAATAGATTCTGAAGAGCTTCGTAAACCATCGACTTTTACTTGAACCTCAATTCCGAACAACAGCTACGCTAAGGTACAATAATGAGGTTCAAACAGACGCTGCCGGTTTTAGGACTTAGTGCATGTTAATTCATGGCGATATGTGATGTTTATTTATACTTGAACAACACAAAGAATTGTACCAAGATGGCGATTTTGTTTTCCAGTCGATGATAATTCCGGCGTTAATGGTTAAGGTAGTTTCTGTTTTGACTCGCAAAATTCCGGTAGCTCAGTTCGAGAGCAATTTTACGTGTGTCCCTATCCACGACGAAATTTCGTTTCAACTTTTCAAGCAACAGTTTTTAAAACGATTTTGATCACTGTGACATAAACACTGTGATACAAAATAATAGCTGCGTTATTCGATTTTCTAACTCAAATGTGGTAATTTGAGACGCAATAAACTGGACGTCGATGTCTTGAGCAAGATATATGTACTTTTGCAATAGGCCTTGTGAATCGTTTGTTCTATTGAACACATGTACAATAATTGAATAATGACAAAATTATATTGTTTTGATATTGAACAAAAACTATTGCAAAGTAATTACAACAAAACCCAAACAAATTATGTCCTCCAAAATATCTTCACTTGCACTCTGTTACAAGTGAAAGGTAATCTGCCAGAACAGCATGCCACATAAACTTTAGATGGCCTTCAAAATATTCCTAACTGAAGACAAAGATGAGACCATATGAATAAAATAACGTTTGCTTATCAGTGTCAAAAATATCCTAAGAAAAAAATTCAAACATAAATCAATGTCAGTTAATTACAACAATAGATTGGATCGAGGCACATTCACAATGTAAAACGACCAAACGAGAACGATTTTTTATACACAATTGCATACGTATTAATAAATTAAACTGCGACATTTTGTCGTCACCTATCTATTAGATAAAAATATTTCAACTATACAAACCCTCAGTTTAAATGACCCGTATTCGGATTTACTTTATTGGTCTAATATTAAAATTAAGTAGTTAGATGGAATAAACTGAAAAATCATGTGAGATCACCCAAAGAAAAATGAGTTGATTCGTGGTTTCATGAGATAACTCTTTATTAATAATATATAATGAATTTGCAGTGGCCAATAAGAAGGAAGCCTTTGAAATCATTTTATTTAATCTCTCTCCGCTCCCTCATCGTGGAAATGTATTTCTATATATCACCATTATTTGAAGCTCATATACAGCATATAGATAATTAGCACGCATGCAATAAGGGATACACGAATTCATTATAGACGCTAGAATATTCAAACACCTAAATGAGATTAATATCGATTTATTATTCTGGTATTAGTTGAAAATCATAAAGAATTAAGTCGTCATTTAAAGCAAAAACTAGATCGATAAAGCAACGTTTGATTGTGATATGTTGAGATTGGAATTGAGCAGTGACCAGATCTGAAATATTTGAGGAAACTTTTTTAGAAACAATAAAGAATTCTGAAGTCTTAAATGATCTAACCAAATGACGCAATGAAAGGCTTAAATTTATAATGGTTTTTATGACATCTTTATTCTCTTAATGTCAATGCTTCCTTCATGATCTCTCATCCTTGAATTAGGCTCAGATGTCGTGTCAATGCGATAAAGGGAGGATATTATTTGTAGTATATGATATATGTAAACTAATGTTGTTTAAATTTTTTTCTAGTAATTGATTTTCAAGAGTGGAAAATTATTCTTTATTCCGAAATTCCTAGTTCTTTGCTGTAGTCTTCTCTCATCTTGAATTTTTGCACCTGGAATAGAATTTGGATTTCATGAAGATTCAGACAATTTTTTTTCATCAAATATTTCAAGTTAATATCATTACTGGTATAATTTATCATTATTTTATTACTAGCAAGTTCCGTTAAGTAAAGTGAGTATTGGAAACGAGTGGAAACAAGAGTTTATGTCTCGTGCCGACCATTTATTTGCAATAAATCTCACACAATATCCCTACACTAATGATTTGCATAAATCTCCAAATCTATCTTATTTATTCAAATCAGAAGTGTGCAACATTTTTTTTATCAGTGGGCCATATAACCAACTTGGGACATCTAGCCGGAGCACACAAAAAATATTGATTTTTTCATGTATACAACAAATTTTCTCACAATTCTCACAATGTGAAATTTTATTTATTCAACATTTTGGTGTGACACTTGAAATTTCGAATTCTTACATAATTTTTTAAAATCAGCTTTGACGGAAGTTTCAGCAATCTTCCACTGACCGGCCGAATGTTTATCGGTCAGCTGACAAGAGAAGAGAATGCGGCGATCGCCTAGCCTTACACTAATGAAGGCGACATACAAAATTTGATTTGATTTCAATTTGATGTAGGGACAAGAGCAAAAAAAAAAAACATAAGGAATTTTTGCCCAGTTGAGCAGCGCCATTTTGGTCTGTCAGCTTAGAATTTCATGCTTGACGGGGAAAATCTGCGTTTTGACAAGGGCCGCACTAAATGTCTTGGCGGGCCGGGTTGTGGTCCGCGGGCCGCTTGTTGCACACTCCTGCTCTAAATGATGAGCACAGAAGATTATTGGCAAAAGTTCTGTCTCTAATAAATACATTCGAAACTACCGAAGACACACCACACATACGGTATGCATTGTGCCATTTGTCGAGTTCGTTGAAGGAAGCAAGAATTTCACTGATTTTAGCTATTTGGCTGCACGATACCCTTATTGTATTGTCTGATCTGGTTAGGTTTGTAAAAGTTGTTAAAACATACGCAAACCGAGTATAACTCACCTACACATTTCAGCGAAGAAATTTATATTTAACGAAATTTCACAGATATATATTTTATTTTTCAATTATCATTGAGAGAAATAAATGTTGTGTTTAAGCTGCAATTGAGTTTCCAGTAAAATTTTATTTTAAAATTGATTTGGGCCAAACTCTCCACTAGGTGCGCTAGCGTGTAGAGAATTTATCAATAGAAACAAGAGAGCTACGCCCAAATATATGGACACGTCTGTTCGCAGTACAGTCTACAAATATATTCACACCAAGCGAAGCAGTACAGTAGGACACAAAATGGCGTCCGATGTCCGCAGAACGTTTAATGACGTCATAGCAAACAAAAACAAATCTCACAGAGCTAACAGAAATATTTAAAATGAATAAAAGTAATAGCCTTCTGGGGAAAAATTCTATCTTCAACCACTGAAAATTTCAAAGCAATTGGTCCAGAATTCGAAGAGAAAAGCGGTTTTTTAATATTTCCACTAGGTGTGTTATTCTGTGTCAAACAACAAGAACAAGAACAACATAATATTGAAACGATCGTTATGTCCACTATGTGTCCAATAAACGTTACATACTTTTCTGGTGACGGTGAGCGGGAATTCTTCAACAAACTTGATATGTTTTGGAATTTTATAATGCGCCATCTGAAAAGGAGTAATATAGAAATTATTCAGGAGTCCGGACATGACCGAAATGATCGTGTCATTCTTTCATCGATTCCAAAAGATAAACTAATAAGTGAAATGAGAGTGAATCCTACCTTTCCTTTGCAAAATGATTTAATATCATCCGGAGTTGCTTCTTCTCCCGCTTTTAAACTGATCCAAGCAGCCACTTCTTCGCCTAATCGTTTATCCGGTACACCGAAAATCTACGAATGTCAAGGTTTTATATCAAAGTAACTCTATATTTTCTAGTTTCAAATTTTCAGTTTCCATTAATGAATGCTCTACTATTATGCTCAAAAATATCATTCAAACTTACTCGGAAATACAGGAGACTCACCTAGGAGCAGAGTCATGTGTACCATTGAAATGCCAATAGTTATAGATTTATGGTAGTGAGTTATTATTACTGTAAGTTGGACGTCCGGCCAAGCTTGGGGGATGTATTAATGTAGATCTAACGATATCGGTTATATATGTGGAACAGCGACATGGAGGTAGTGTAGAATGTGCTGAAGATATCTTTATTCGAAAATCACAGTCGTTTCATCCATAATTTGAATTATATTTCTGGATGGCATAATATCTCGAAAAACTACAATTGGGTTCTGAATGGTTTTTGAATCAGAACAGCTGATATTATTTATAAAAGCAAATTCTGAAACCTTCTACACAAATATTTTCTATAATTGAATGACGAGTAATTACAAATTCTCTGAACTTCGAGAGAGTTTTTGATTGTTAGCGAAGAAAATTGAATTACGACAATTTTAATGAGGTAACCCATTTCCCACCCTATTTCAGAGTTTCCATTCCCAAACAAATCTTCATTTATTCAATAGCCATAATTAAAAATAGCGAACCTGGACGTTATCAATTTTATCCATGGTATGCAGAATATCCTCAACTTCAGCTGGATAGATATTTTCTCCACCTCTGATAATAAGATCTTTTGTTCTACCTACGATGCGCCCATATCCTTTTCCGTCTAGGGTAGCAATGTCACTGAAAATGTTCATCAAAAAATATCACATTAATTAACAACGTTTCAAATCATCCCCAAAAGACAATTTTGTAGATAAACTACGTCATGTCACCAATAAACAATCCGTATCAGCAATTGAGTGACAAATCCAACACAAATATACAATATGAGAAGGTATTCGACGCAAATTTTCATGAGACAACTGTTCTTTACTTACAGCTTTAAATCGTCATTGAATCGGCCCAAATAAGGCGATAGCCGATAGGTAAGCAATGATAACTACGTTTTGATTTACTAGTTCAAGTACCAAAATCTTCTTTCGGTACGGCAAAGTTTACCCACACAATAACCCGCGACTTTTAATATACGATGTCAACATTCAAGCTTACTACTCTATACGTCATCATAAAATGTAAGATAAATGCTTACCCAGTCCTGTACCAACCCTCTTTTGTAATTGCTTCAGCAGTTTTATCTTCGGATTCCCAATAACCTTGCATCACACAGTAACCTCGAATCAAGAGTTCTCCAGGTGTGTTAACCGGAACAATTTCTCCCGCTTCGTTGACGATTTTGGCCTGCAGACGATTACAAACATATTATGTTATTATTGACACATCTAGGGCGGTAAGAGAGCTAGACACTCAAGCAAAAACGCGTATATTATGTACATAAACTCTATATCGCAATACATAAAAGTTGAGACGCAATGCCTTCAAATTGTCGAGACTCAAGAGAAAATGGTCGATGTTCCCCACATTCATATTAGTGTACACAAGGACATATTAGTGAACAAATTTATGTTGCGAGGACCTTTTATTGAATATGAGTCTATTGTCTAACGAAAAAAACAAGGAAAATTAGATAAAAAACAGTTATACAAAAAGTTATATAAATACATTAGCATTTCTAATCAAATTTAGGTACAAAAATAAAACAGAAACTCGATGTAAACTGTAATATTGGGTATTGCATCAGGTATAAACATATATGGACCATTTGGGCCAACTAGGTCAATGCGTTATTTTCTGTGTTTTATTTGGAACGTATGTAAAGCAATGATCTCGAAAATCACAGATAATCTATGACAAAATCATTACTGGCAATACAGTCAAGCAAAATAATCCATTTTTTGCTCTGCGAAATAACAGTAAAAACTATTCAAAACTAACTTCAGTAAATGGAGCAGGCATTCCTACAGTCTGTGTTCTCATATCGTCAGAATCATCCAAATACGTCATGAAAGTAACGGGACTGTTCTCAGTCGTTCCGTAGGCAACCTGGTAAATAATAACAATATGATAAGTATGAACAGGCTATTACATTGTTATGCAAGTAGTATATCTGATTATTCACAAGTATCTGCCCAAGCCAACTTGAGTCGTTTTATGACAGGTTCCCAAGCGTAAACAAACAAAATGTAGCAAGTTTAATAATGAAGTAATAACAAACCTAATATGTATTTGATTTTATTTAAACAATATTGTACATATATATTAATATAAACTCTTGAAGATTATAAGATTTGAATGAAACTTGCGGAATCTATGGACTGTACTGGCGAAACCCTAGAGTGTCGCGGAAACTCGATTAAAAACCTTCGCTATAGAAAACCGAAAATGACGAAGATAGTGGTTTTCCATGTTTGTTCGTTTGAAACAAGTTTTAGCACCACCTGGCCAACCCACAAATGTTAATTAGACTCTGGTCAAGGTCAAATATGATTGCAATACCTTTCCAAGAATCCGATTTCTTTGCCAATTGCACTTCTAAGAAATATTGGGATATCCGTATGTTAATTTTAACGCATCGCTAAAATTACCTTTTTCTACAGCAAATCATACCGACGGCCGTACAAGTTAGATAAAATAAATTAATATAAAAAAAAATGATGAAAATTTAGACTTTGATTATCATAATTGAAAGTATGAAAGTATTCCCTACCCCGGGAAATTGAAAAGTTTGACTCCAGTATAAGCATGCAAACTCCTACTCCACAAGCCTATAACTTAGACCCCATATCTGCCTTTACAGAACGTAATTTGTACTTACGATACATGAAAAATCCGAATGACATAATGATCCGATTGCTAATTTATATTGTAATTACTGAGTACAAAGAAAATTTGGTTGGATCAGGTTCGGAAAAGACTTGGATCGGATTCGAGTCGTTACCAATACACAAATTGAATTGAACACAAATCTGCTAAAAAATTGGGTACTTCCGTGGTATATGTACTATATGTTAGGGTTAGGCCATCATTTTATTCCGATTTTTCTTATTTTAGTTCTATTACGAGTTCGGGGACTGTAAGTGTTAGCGAAGTCGATATACCCCCTGCCCATAGGTTTCAGTCCCTTTATACAACTTGATGTAAAGTAGGCGAACAAAATTAGTTACCGCCATATTGGTACATACACTTCTGGAGCGCCGAAAATTATAATAGAATCATCCTGCTTATGAGTATATACATGGAGACTCCGGCCCACTGTTAGAAACATTTGTTGAATTTGCTCGCCTTCAAACCAGAATAACCATTTAACCCATAAATATAGAGGGTATACTTTATTTTTCGTATTGTTTAGTTTAAATATTATTATTGGATAATAACAAAACCAGCCAAAGTAATTCACTGTTCTATGAGATATTATAGGCAAATTCTGCGGAGGAATCTTATTGAAAATATAACAAAAAAGTTCGTAAAAATTACTATCATTGGATAGTTATTGTATTAGATGTGATTTATACTTCAGCAACGATGGTAAATAATCGGAAAGGGATCGGTTGCAGGTTTAAGCTCGGAACGGTACTTACTAATCAATCATGCGATATAATTTAACCATATTATTTGCCATGATTTGCGGATTTATATTCACAATAATAGCTGTGCGGATCGTGTGATATTATTGAAAATGTTATACAGTACAGTAGGTAACCTTTTCATGTCGTCACGTACCAGGTGAGTTACTGTACTGGCAAACAGTATGCTTTAATCTTTCCGCTATCTGATTCTATATTGGCGAGTATTTTTGCAAAGTTATATGGGAAAACAAACAACCGAAGTATAGGTATCGAAATGGACAACAAGACGCCACAAATGACTACCTTCCAACCTCGAAATAGTCTATATATGACCTGTATATGTCTTGTACACGTCCGATATTGGACATGGATAAGAAATGATTGACACAAAGAGCATTACATCAATGTTTTTAACTTCGGATTATTTTTCATTTCACAAATAACCTACAATACAAGGATGAAAGTATGATCACGCTGTCCAACTCGAGCTCACAAAGCGCCAAAATTAAAATTAACCCCAATCTCTAGAATTGCGCCAAATTTTGTGGTAATTTTGTAAAAACCATGCACGTAACTAAATGTACATATAGCTAATGTTTATTGGAAATAAAACATACATAAATGGTATTGAATGCATAGCCTCTAAAAACTCACATGTGCGCCCAAACATAATTTGGATATATTCTAAATCAAGGAGGTTTATCAAGGAGACAGCGAGTGTGCAAGCTGAGAGTTTCACTCTTCGTGTCTTACTCGGACATAAATTTGAATTGACTTAAAAAAGAAAAAAAAAGTTTATGCGTATGATGAAACAACTATCAGTGAAACTACAGATATTTACATATCCTTTGAAGAAAAAAATAATCGGTTGCGCTTTCCTACAACAGAAATCGGTAGGAAGGTAGGAAAGGTATACTAAATGAGTAACGTTCTCAGAAGTTGTGATGTATTTTTGTTTTCTTAAAATCAGGAAGTATTTGTGAATTGTATGGCTTCCGTCCTGCCAAATCTCCGATAAGTATACATTTTCCCACCATCATTGCCTGACAAAGTCATTCAATTTATTCAGTCAGTCGGAGAGTGTGGTTTGAGACAAAATGATCTTGCGAGACCAAAATCAAACCACTACACACAGACGGATGGATACTTTCAGTTCCTGTAAGCAAGTACTAAAATTTTCGGGAAGATGTTTTAGTAGGAGTTTCAGTGCAAAGTAGAAACTAATAGAACTGGAGACTTTATATTTCAAACGCTTGCTTAGCAATTTACTGATTTAATTCAATATGTTAAGAATAAAAATTCAAATATAAATCAGCGAGAAACGAATCAATGACAATCATGACAGCAATCAATTGAGCAAATTGGCGTCGTGGGTGAAATTTGAATTGAATATTAAATGTACAGGTTCAGTAAATAGTCGGGCGTGAAAAAATCTGATCAATTTCTAGTCTAGAATCTTTTTAGTAATAGTCTAGGACAGGTAACCATATATAGACTGAAAAAGGGAATTGCATATTACAATATGCATCTGACATCTTATGGACGTTCTTGTTGTTAATTCAACGAAGAGTATTTGTTAGACAAGTATTTGATGTGTTTTGCAATTTAGTCATAATACAAATTTACTACAATACAAATTCTTTAATGAACTTTATTAACTGAAGTTATTATTCTAAATACAATAGAAAATATCTTCCAGTGGATTGTATAGGCTACAGATATGTCCTCAAATTTATCAAATTAAATAGAAACTCATCAATAAATTTGTTGTCATTTTCACTTTAAACATAAAATAACAATAAAATAAAAAATGGGTGAAGGTGAAAAACGAACTTGGGCCCGATCGAAAGATGTTAGTTTACACTTAGAAATGGGTGCTTTGATCACTGGGACAAAAGTGCGCTCAATCTTATAGTCCGAATCCAGAATCAAACCTAATCCAACTCAGGTGCAAAGATAATAGAAAATCATTGCAATACCTATAAAACGGTTTTAGATATTTCAGTATGGTCTTCGTCAACTAAACTTAAAAAAGAACTTCTCTAGCAACTACACTATATATTTAAGATAATGTCTTGTGGAACTCAAGTATTTATGAATAGTCTTAATGCAATTTATCGTAAAAATCTGAGATGTGTTTATTATGTTACAGAAAGTCAATTAAAAAAAAAAACAATGACAAACAATATGGCATCATACATTTTCGTGATTATCTGTATATCGGGATTTACATGTGGTATGCCAGCACCTTTTGAAATGCCAATAAATTCTCTGGTGTCGTACTATGAAGACAAGGATAACGACGCAAAGGCGAATCCGATCCCTTATGATAATTATGGTGCTCCGCCTGATCACTATCCTGCTATTATTCCTGATATGTCTCAGAGTTATTACGATGAAAATTCAACATATCCTGGTATCTACGATAATAATGAATGTCATTCCGTCAGAAACTGTCCGTGGGAACTCCAGAATCCGGAAGATCCAAGCGACCCATACGCCCCTATTTTTCTCGGGCCTGGTTATTTAGGGTTCGGGTTAAATCCCGATGAAGACAGAGTGTGGAAATGTAACGTGGAAGTTGACTGTTTTGCACAAGAAATAATTCCCGAAGATTTATCCAATGATACTGAAGTCCTATTTTTGCGTTCTTTCAATTTTACAACATTGGAAATTGGAAATTTATCTGTTCTACCTCCCCTTATCAAGCTAAGAATTGAATATAGTGATCTAAGGACTATCGAACCAGGAGCGTTCGCAAGCCAACCAACACTTGAGGTGAGCTATGTTATATAAAAAGTATTTAATTCAAAGCAATTATATGAAAAGATATAGAGAGGGTAGCCGAGGCGGGGGGTCTTTTAATTTAAGGCGTTATAAAGCACGTTGAAGTCTAAAAACAGTGGCCAGCAAATTTAAAATAGCCAAATGCTTTGGTTACTGAGATATTCGCAATACTAAGATAGAAAACATTGACGATAATAGCAACATTACTCAATGCAAAAAGAAAATAAAAGGGCGAATAACGCTTTATTTGTCTTCTCATTTACAAATCAATTGATCTCATGAACCGACCGGCTCTAGTTCAAGTATAGGAACAATTGTAAACTGGGGCTCCCGAAGTATGCGAACCAAGATGGCGGACATCGGAATGTAATATGTGTACTAGGTTAGGGTTAGACCATAATTTTAGGTATAAATACTACGGAAGGCTCTTGGCTAGTCTTCGAACTAATAATAGGACTAAAATAAGGAAAATTGGAAAGAAATGATCGCCTAACCCTAACCTGTTACCCATGTTACGTTCCGATGTCCGCCATCTTGGTTCGCATACTTCGGGAGCACCTGTAAACTTTTGAAAAAAACTCGTAAAATCTGTACTATTTATTATGTTAGCTATGGTGGACCGCTAAAAGACAAAAAGAACTTCCCATTAGTTAAAGTCTCCTCTGTATCTGTTGTCGCTCGACTGAGCATTCAAAGCCAATAGTGTATCATAATCATTCGCTCCATTTTTCAGATTTTAGAATTGGAAGGCAATGACATTGAAAATATCCGACCGTCAACTTTCATAGAACTCAAGGATTTGACAAATTTAGATTTATCGAACAATCAGATTCAAAAACTAAGAAGAAATATGTTTGCTGGTCTCGAGTCTGTTACGGAACTTAGCGTAGGCAGCAACAGCTTGGTCGACTTGGATGGTTATACTTTTGCTGAGATGAACAATCTGGAGGAACTGACGATAGACGACAATAATATAACGTTCATTTCAAACAACGCATTTAGCGGATTGCCAAATTTGAAAAGGCTGTATCTGAATCATAACAGACTAAGTTCGGTACCGACTATTGCCCTGAGAGAACCTCCAAGTCTCATCCATCTACATTTGACTGGAAATCCATTACGTGCCATTTTTCGATCTGACTTTCTTGGTTTAGAGACATTGGAAACGCTTTGGCTCGATGAATGTGAACTAGTTAGTATCGGAAGACGAGCTTTTCACAATAAAAAATTGAAAATGTTAGTTTTATCTGACAACTATCTTACAAAAGTGCCAAATTTGGGTACAATGAGACGATTGCAAACAGTGCGACTTGAGCATAATCCATGGAATTGTGATTGTAATATGACACGTACAGTACGATGGTTAAGGCGACACAGCTTAAGCCCACAGTCACAGGACCCCGAATGCGCCACTCCACCGCACTTCGAAGGTAAACGGGTACTAGAGTTAAGCAATGATGACCTATGCTCTCCGCCACCAAAATACATTCCACGGGTTAGACCACCATTTTCGGAAGTTGACCGTAACGGAGTTATTACACAATGGCATCCTCAACCACGCGCAGATGAAGTAAATGAACTGCCTCCCACTACGAAGAGTTATGAACGGAAAGATACCGCGCTTGGACTCATTCCTGAGGGAGGGTGGTCAAAGTTACCTTATGATACAGACAAACTGTATTCTACCAATATTGTAAGAGATCCTGTGAAACCAATACCTACCATTATTGCTCCCAGCACGGAAGTAATGTCTACTACCCAGCTAGCGACCCAGAGGCCATTGACGACAACAGAGCTTACAACGATGCGAGGCAGTGCCGAGCATGAGACCACGCGTGCCATCAAAGTGCGAGAGACAACTTCAACGACCGGTAACAGATCTGTTGCGGCTATAAGTACTCCAGCGACTACTTTTACAAATATAACCAAATTTCAAACTAGGTTTATCACAGAAACTACGGAGCAAAATGAACAGCCGAATGATTATGGAACGCCCATTTCAGTAACAATTGTTATTGGGCTTGTTGTGGCGGTCATTGTTGTCATAACAATAATAGTTGGAGTACTCTGCATTCTACAGCGATATCATGAATTAAAGGCAGAGAAGCAGAATCCCCGTCGAATCGAGATGAAAACAAACTCTTCTAATAACGTTACAAAATCCAGCTCTTCGACAAAAGAGGTGGTAGAAAATGGAAAAGTAGTGAAATCAATAGAAGGTACATGAAGCTATTCAATATGATCAGGTATACCTAATTGAAATTAAAATACTGCCAAAATCCAATCTCTGTATACAATAGCAGTCCCGATTATATACGGTATAGTAAGGATTTCGACGAAATTAAAATTAGGAGCGAAATTCAATTTGTAATTGATGTGGATTAGTGTATATATTCATTTACGTCTTTATATTTCTATAATATTGTGTTTACATTACCATATTTGTATTCCAATCTGGTATAATGTCAATAAATGCTCAGAAAGGCAGTAAGTGATCACGTGTCTGAATGTAACGAAATAGCGGGCAATATTTCCGATAGAATTTACAAAACAGTTTTGAACTGAGGAATGATTTTTCCGCAAAAGAATAATTTTGTGTATACGCAAATAGCTTCTTAACATGTTAAGCGCGTACTCAATAATAAGTTGCCTCTAGTACGATTGTTTCTTTGATTCTTGAAATAATATACCAAACATCCTCAAACTTCCGTCATTTTAGGGTATAGCGCTATGATAACGCTACTCAACTCAATCACCACCATTACGGGGGCTCCAGTAAAACCAAATATAAAGTTCAGGGCCAAGTGCAGTGACTCAAATGTGGTTTAAAATAAATTAACTTTATATATATTATGTTAAGATTCCGGCAAAGGTGAACGACTTTAGATGCCAAATTACAGCAGCCCTTTCTACATGGCCAAATTAGTTACGATTGACAAGTACTTTAATATTAATTTAGGGCTTTGACCTTCTAGAGTTATTCTTAGGATATGCTTGTTATGTTCATTCACAAAATCGAGATATATATGCAGCACATTGCGTCATTTGGCAGCCACTGCGTACTGTAAAAAATTCGGTATAATATACATGCTGTTTTGATGTAATCCGATGCGATAAACTGAAGACATATAGAAACACATTATTCTTTTAAGTTTGACAATAACATGGCAAATCCTTAAAATTTACAACATTTTTAATACGGCAATCAAATTCACAACTGCCTATAAAAACCTCATAAGATTAAGCAACAAATGATGCCAAGATTACCTTCAATTACGTATTTACACTTCAAAGTCGGAAGTTTCCCAACTGTAGGTAACGTTGTGAAAGTCAGCTGAACAGGAAACTTACTAGATTAACCCTCAGGGAGAAAATAACTTAAAAAAATGAGAAAAGGCGTAAGGAAAAGTAATACAAAAAATTATGGTTATTTTCAATGATATTATAAATAAAATTGATTTTTTTGGTTCGCAATAATTTTGATCGCAATAATGGTTAAAAGTCCGAATAAGAGCAAACAAAATTGCAAAAATTGCATTTTTTACCAAATATCAATATCGAAATACCGATAACAGAGAACAAATATAGACATTTTCTCATTTTTTCTCTCTGTTTACCCCATGATAAACAGTACCTGAAAGAATGGGAAACTAAAACTGACTCATAAAAAGGTTAATATTTATCAAACCGCCTGGTACTCGCACAAAATACAACAAATTTCTCTTGCAATACTGGAAGCAATACTTGATGAAAAAGTCGCCGAGATGTCTCATTCGACCTCATATCCTTGTAATAAAATAACCTTTGACTGGGCAACCATAGGAGACAGAAAGTCGTATCCTTAACTTCATATGGGAAACTGACGTCATAATACCGTGACGTATAATTTATTGAAAAATATTATATGTGAAGTATATAGACAGGCATCGTATAGCTAAAAATACTAGAATCTCGAATAGAAACCAGTATTTGAATAGTTTCATGTTTTTTGAAATTACAACTGTGTTTTAGCAAATTGAATTTGATTGCTTTTTAATTTCACGACATTTACTTTTAAATAGTGTTTTTTTTGAAAACAGGAGACTTGAAGAAGTTCAAGTAATTACCATCAGGAAAATAGCTGTGAGGTTACGAACCCGCGAAATTGTTCAACGCAGCATTTCAATATTGAATTGTAAAACGAATAAAAAAAACGCATAGAACGTCCTGAAGATTTGATAAAAATCAAATTTCCTCCACAAAAAATACATTCATAAATGCTAGAAACATAAAAGGCCCCTCATCACCACAATGGCAACACCGAAAATGTAACTAAGAGCAATAACGAAGAAGATAGATATTAGGGATATAACAGTATAAGAAGTTGGTGTTCGATTCACCCCGCGACTAAGCCAGACAATACACGCCAAGAATGAAATTTATATTTTTCATTGAAATGATGACGATTTATTTTTGCAGGATAACTCGCACGATTTGTATACAAATACTATAGTAATTGAAAGCAACTAAGAATGTACTACATTTTTATATTTAAAGTATTCATTTTCAGTGCTAAAACGCACTATTTCATGAAAAAGCAAACATTCAAACACAACGCAATTCCGTAACTATATTGTGCAGCAACTTCATCCTCGTGTTCTAAACTCATCTCATATGTATCAACGTTTAACAACGAAAAATTCCGCGCTTCTGCTACTAAGCGTCACAATTTCCTCTCTCTGAGATTTTCTGTAAAACAAAATACAAAAGCGGTTACTATATTGGTCTAATTAAAGCCGCGATGCCGCCAAAATGCAAGCCGAGGCTAGCAAAGCGATCACATCGTTCTCATGCAAGAGTGTAAACAGTACACAATCATGTAGTAGGCTATATGCTGCCTATATAGATACAATTTCCCATTCCATACTTTGTCTATGAATAATTCGTTTTTCATTTTTGGAACATCTGTGCGCAAGAATAACTAATAAAACAGGTAGGGCAAACCACTGACCCAACTTGCGCGTCATAAAGTGACTTGTCATTATTTTTTGGTAACTCGCCATGTCACCAATTAATGCAAGAAACTTACAGGATGACCCCTAAAAACAGAACCCAAAAATTTCTCAATTAATTACGAATTCGAAAATAATAAAAACTTAGGTAACACTTGAACTTCTGTTTGTGAATGAATATACCAAAACGTTTCAGTAATCTAGGACGCTTTGCTAGTTATGTTGACTCTGGAATATGTTTTAAATTCCTAAAATTTCGATTCCAATATAGAGCATTTGTCTTGGGTGGTAAACGCCGCAAGTAATTTTTAAAAAGTACATACCCCTGCGCCGTCGATGCCCGCAGAGTTGTTCGTTTGCAATTAACAACATATTCTCATTTTTCAACTTGAGGGGACTGGAACATATGACCGAATCCATAGTCAAGCTCGGATTTATGGTGGTTTTCAACTTTATCAACCAATCACGGAATGGTATAATTTCACAGTCACATCTCCACGGATTTCCTTCTGTATTTATCTGCAAAAAATGTGATTAATTTGGCACTTTAACAATCATATTTGTCGACCAATGACAAAGATCGTAATGTGAAGGATGTGATATCTGTAATGTATTACAAGCTCGTACATTACTCGCATTGAGGAAATATCTGTGGTTGGATTTAATCTGATATCAATTTGCGTGAATATAACTGTATTAAATTGGGTATGTAAAGCCGAACCGGAAAATTACCGGAACTTTCAAAAATAATATTTTCATATATGACTGCTAGTACAAAACCCTGTTCAGAATGAAAGGTTTATAAATGTCGGATGAAAATGGCGGATACTAATAATTTCAACATTATATATTTTAATAATACATATGGTACATAGTAAACCTTATTGAAGTAGGAGAGAGTAAACAAAAAAGAATCATGCGCCATTCTTCAAGTGCAGTTATACCTAATTAAGTATAGTATGCAAAGCAAAATTCAATACTCAGGTACTCACTTCGATCAATGACGATGATCTTTCAAACGGTGGGAGCACTTTTAGATTGTTATTGCTAATGTTGAGCATTTGAAGACTGTGCAAGCCATAAAAAGCTTTTTTATCCACTTCCTGTATTCTATTTGCTCCCAGCAAAAGCTTGCTCAATCGTGGTTGACGACGAAAATTGTTTGTATTTAGTCTATCAATTCGATTTTGACTCAAATCAAGCCACAGCAAATATCCTAAGCCTGTAAAACGACTCATAATTAATATTCGAGACAGGGTCAAGTCTTTTTGAGTCGACTTCGAAAGTCGATGTTTTCAAATCATTGACGTCATCCGTTTTGTTGCCATGACCGCAAGCTATTCAATGGGTTGGGTACTTTCTTAGTTTTTTGAAACTGAGTATAGCCAAGCTGAGATAGATACTAACAATATAAGGGAGAATACAGTCCACCATGTTTTTTTATTTTTATTATTTATCGATATTTTCAACGAAATAAGGCTTTGTCTTATCATTTTAGAAATAGGATATTTTCTAATTTGCGTCAATCCTTGTATGTTGACCTAAATGAAGGCAGCGTTAGCTGATACGAGAGCATGTTCTCTTCAGATGGTTTTGGTTCAATGGATTATACAGAGTATTCTAACTAGTTTAAAGCATGATTAAGGTCCAAGATCATTGGAAAAGATAAACATTGCATGACATGTGATTGTTTTATTTGCCAGCTATAACTTGAACATGTCGTTATAACGGTACTTGTGATATTTATAATCGTCGCAGAATTAGGACAATGGAAAAAGGAATAAAAAACAGGTATATATATGTAATATTGTAGTTACCTTTTAACGCTTCTGCGGGAACAGAAGTGAATTCATTGCGATCAAGTAGAAGACGCTCCATATCGGGAACCGAACGAAAAGTATTGTCTTCGAGATAATTCAGTCTGTAAATCATAAGTAATCAGCATATGTAACGAATATTGCGCGGTAGGCTTGAATATATTTCGTGCACGAAGTTCGACAAAAACATTCTAAGTGTAAGTAAAAAAACTTAATATTGAATAAAGCCCAACTCACCTGTTACCAGATAGGTAAAGCCAACGTAATCTTTCCACTCCGTCAAAGTTTTGCGGTGAAATAGATTCTAACAGATTGTCTCGGATGTAAATTGAAAATACCGAGGTCAAAGGTCGAAATATACCGGGAGGAAGAATACCAAGGCGGTTTCGATCAAGAAATAAATATGATAAACGCCTGAGCCCTGAAACAAAGTATTTAGTAATATTACAAAATGTGTATGTACTTCGCTGTGATTGCATATTCAGATTTGCATGGGATTTCGAAATCATTTTGTTGCAAAAATGGTCATGGTAATAACTGAAATACTGCAAATAGTTCATTGAACAAAAAGACATGCAGATCTAAAAAAACGAATGTTATCAATAAATATTGAAACCGTCCCTATAGTCGGCTTTATCCAAACCGTGATAGTCCAACACCATCAAAATGGGCTAAAAATTGTAAGATTACGCGGTTAATAAATGTTGGACGTAAAAAAATAAATTTAAAATTAATTAGGGTTGTCTTCAGACTATGATACACCACGCTTCCATTGGAAGTGTTGAGAGTAAATGCTATTTAATTTAGCATTTTTAATATATATTTCATTATAGGTTTTTGTGCTCTTACCTACAAAAGATTCGGCATCTAGTGTATCCAAATTATTATCTTCCAAATACAGATAAACCAAATTATGTAGTCCTTCAAATGCTCTTGATTCGATCCTTTGTATTCTGTTGTATTGGAGATGTAAGGATACCAGACTTGTAAGGCTAAAGAAACTACCTTCCTGGATCGATTTTATTCTGCAAAATCAGACAATTTAAGAACGTTTGAGTTATATATTTTTTGAGGGGGAGATGGGGGTTAAATAAAAAAGAGATTCATAAGTCTCTTATTGCCTTTACATAATTTCACATTTAATTTCCAATTCACAATTTTTTTTGTCGCAAGGACATCGTGAACTCCAAATCACAAGCTCCATCTATTGTGTATTAGTGTGTTTTATGATTCATACTACGTCAAAATTGAAATAATTCAAACACATTAGGTAGCATGAATATTCTTTGAAATCGTATGATTTTGCTACAAAATTGGGAGATCAGTAAGAATTTTAAAATTATTTTTTATTTTAAGCTCGGACCGTCGATCGAACCCCAATCGTAAATGGAAAGTCAGGACATAAGGACATATATTTATACAACACCGACGTATACGTGAAAATGGAGAAAATTTCATTCAGACGAATAAAATGCCATAATACGCTTCGAATTAAAATAATCTTGCCCCCCCCCCTCAATTCTAACATAATAAAAAAACTCACCTATTATTTCTCAAATTAATTAACGTCGTCTCCTCTGACAATCCAGTGGGTACGGACGTAAAACTTTTGCTGTCACAATCTAAATGCTTGAGACTAGTATCGCAAGTACATTTATGAGGACAATAAAATTGTTCCTCCTGATTAGTGTGTTCAACAATGTCTTTTCTCTCCGACGTAATTTGTAGTAGAGGCCGAAATCGATCTTTGTGAAGAGCATAGTATTGTTTTTCGTCACAATATAGGTCTTCTATGTCCAAAGATTTGAATTTACGATCATTTAGGTATGATGGTCCTTTGCATTCAAGATCAAATGCCGTTGATTCGATCCAGCGTCGAAATTCCTGATAATGAGTCAAATTAATTAAAAAAGTGCTCAAACATATGAATACCAAAGAAAACGACTAACTGCAGTACACAGAACCGGATTTAGAGATAAGAGGCGCCTCCCCTCCCAGACTATTTCATTTCTGAGGCGTCTCAAACTATGAAATCAATTATGCCGTCATAATGACCCATTTAAATGTTTATGGTAAACACATTATGGTGTCATGAACAAATTTTTAAATTGTGTAAAATACGAAAATTCAGTTACAGGCGATAGATTGGATGATAAGTTTAAAAACACTTTAAATAATTATTGTTCGATTTTTGTAATAAACTGGTCGAGGGTAGAAAAGTTAATTATTCTTAAATCCGTTTTTGCTTAGATAAATAAGCATAGCTATATATATATATCGATATTTTCAAATTTTTTTCGAAGACCAAAGGTATTATTAGCGTAAAATACTGAAACTGTTCAATTAATTCAAATTAGTATATTTTGTAATTTATATTAATATATTTTGTTAAAGTAAAGAGGCAGAGTTTATGATTTGGAAAAATCCATTCAATTGGTTGTATTTAATTTTTAACTTTGTAAACCGAAAATATTTGCAACAAGAATTTTAAATCCGATTAGGAAATAAATGAATGTCAGTTTAAAAAATTGAACCGGTGAAATTCTTTAAACAAGCCCTTAAAATTGAATTTAAATAAATAACAGATGAATTGAATATTGATTGTGGATAAAAAAAATTTCATAACCATGGTAACAACTATAACAAGAACAATTTAGCAAACTTCGTCACCAATCATACCTGCATTTTGCAGTCACATTCCCATAAATTGTACGCTAATCCAAATTTACCAAGATTCGGCATTGGAGGCATTTCCTGAATATATTTTAGTTTGTTTCCATTTAACTGTAGCGATTTCAACTTTGGTATTCCAGAAAATGAAGTCGGACTCAGAGATGATATTTCATTGTTTGATAAAAATAGTACAACTAGATTCCGCAGGGCTGCAAGAATGAAATAGATAATCAAATATTCAAATTTTGATTGAGCCACATTATAAGCCGGATTTGTCACTGATTACAGAATTGCAATAATCAAATATTCTGCATAAAAATTTCATTTACAAATAGGGGCTATTCCAAGTGACACTACAAGACAATTCCAGAAATTTTGCATGTTGTTGGATGAAATATATTTTCACATTTTCAGCTACATGTTTTGTTTCATTGTCCAAACAGTTGCTTTATTAAATATGTGAAAAATTGCACAAAAGTTACACCCAAGACTTACTTAATAGATAAAAAAAAAATATAGTAAAATATAGCGTGACACTACAGGACGGCAAATCCACCATGCACTAACAGTACGTTGTGTTATGCTGTAAATTTTTGCGATGGTACAGTGGGAGCCCATAATATTTTCTGGTGCAGTAGCTGAACTACCCCTCTATGTGTTGCTCAAGTTACTTAATGTAACACTGTAAATCCATGCCAATAATGTGCATGTTGTATGTGACACTTCAGGACGTGACACCACGGAACATTTTTCCATTTAGGAATAGCGGCCTCTATCATCTCTTAAAATTCTGGTAATAAATCGTTAAATGGGTGAAGAAATGTCCTACAGCACTGCAAACATTTAAACTTTATTAACGTAAATCCAGTGCGTCAATTCCATATGAAATAACTGTACCACACAATCAAACACTTTGTGTCAGGAATCATCACAAAATATGTCAATTATACCAAAATTTCTACATTTCAGGGCATTTTTTATAAACCATCAAAAACCTGGGTGAAATTTTATATTGTTCGATGAAATGAATGCAGTCCAATAAATTTCCAATGTCTTTTGATATCAAAAAAAAAAAAAAAAATTACTTTTACTACACTTTTTAAAAAATTGATGGAATTCAACTTTTGCTTGGAATGGCCCATAGGAACATCTCAAATCCCAGAAACTTGTATAGAATTTTGTTTATGAACTACAGCATCGTTACTGAAAAAATTGATTTGATTACCGTATACTTACAAGCAAATGCTTTATCCCCTATATGTTGAATTTTGTTATGACGCAGGCTTAATGTTACAAGACGGAACATTGCACCACCTGACAATGCTTGTGAGGGAACACCATTGAGCTGATTATTATCCATAAATAATTTTCTCAAATTTTGAAGAGGGAAGAACGTCGGTGTTGAAATTAACTGAAAAATATTTGAATTCATAAAAAATAAATCGAAGATTAATGTATTCTATGAAATACATCAAAAATAATACTAATATATTATATAATATACCGGTAATGATGCAAAAAATTTTTTTATTTGATAAAATTCTTATTTCGACATTAATTCATTACGGACATTTTAACAACTAAAATAATCTATTAAAATCAACTGGATTTTATTTACAACACACCAGAATACCTGAAATGGTGGAAAGCTAAATTCTTGCCGCTTAAATATTAATGTAGATGACTTCATTTCACTTGTATTTTATTGGACGATTCTAACAACTATAAAAATTTAGTGAAACTTGCTGAATTTTATTAACAATGCACCAGAAGATTTGAAATGTCAAATATTAAAGGAAGGCTTACCTCCAACTTATTATTCGATAAATTTAAAACCTTTAATTTTGACAGTCCGGTGAATATATCATCGCTTATTGATATCATTTCGTTGTTTTTTATATTAAAAACAAGAAGATTTTTTAAAGGTTGAAAGACATCATCTTGGATATCTCCAATAGAATTCTTTAAAAAAAAGTATTTTCATTAGTTTGAATGTTCACATTACCAATAAAGATGACTAGAAACATATTGGAAAAATTCTCACCTCGCTTAGGACCAATTCTCGAAGAGCTGTCAACCCTGAAAACACACCCTGACGCAAGATTGTTAGTTTGTTTCCTGAAAGACGCAAATGTGTCAATCTGCGTAGTCCAATAAATGCATTTGCGGCAATCTTCCTGATTTTGTTTTCTTGAACGTAAAGATGTGTAAGACTGAGTAGGTGGGCAAATGCATATGCTTCGATTGTGTCAAACTCGTTTCCACGCAAATTCAAAATTCGTGTATTCGCTGGAATATCAGAGACATCGACGTTTCCTGAACGTCCCTGGCATCGAACCTCTCGCTTCCGCACATTACATCGGCAGTTGCTGGGGCACTGGCCCTGGCAACAAGTCCAGCAAACACATAAGACAAGTATAAATAGAGGCAACCTAGTTATATATGCGCTCATCTTTTCATGTATATTATATGTAAACTTCGAATGTTAAAAAAAATATCTATATATATACAAATTAAACTATATAATATAAACTACCTACATTATACTTATACAAACTGAGCCTGCTAACTAAAACACTTTACAACATAAACTGTGAGATGGCGAACCAGTCGTGGTCTGTCATCTAGTTGTCTTTCCTTGCTGAGTGATAATCTTATTCTACTACCAATGAAATCCCTGTAAATTCGAACCTATTTACGTTACATTATCGATATAGTATTTTAAACTAATATAGCGGCATAAAGTGTGAAGCTCGGTACGAATATGAAATGCAAATCAAAATATTCAAAAAATTGCTACAGAGACCAAATTTTGATTCGTATTACTCACCTAATTCAATAAAACAAAAATCGTCAACCTTTTTGACTGCTGTTCTTGAAGAGCGAAGCTAGGGAGGATACTAAATACAACTTATATATCAACTCTCTGACTGGCAAATCATACACTGGCCTTAGATACCCGTCATATTCAGCGGAATGACCTGAGACAGCAAATTTCTGAATGGGATTACAAGTCAACAACTTTTTACGCATTCCTTTCCGTCTATTGAGAAACGGATAGACTACTAACTATTAAAAATCAAGTGAATTTACTTAAATATAAATGTAATTTAAGCGATATCAGCATTATAAATCGAGGTTAATTTTCTCATCTTTTAAAATCTTTGTAATAAAGCTAGCTATGAGTACCGATCACGTTGACTAGTGATAACCATAGAAGGTGACACCAAGACTGCGAAGTATGATTATTTGTTTCCGTAAATAAAACGATCACAATCGTAGCTCCGGGAGGATTCCGAAGAATTATCCCTAATGTACACAGAGTAATTTCACACTTTAGTGTTTTTGAGGTCGACAGAAATGAACTTAAAAGGTACGTACGAGTACACGACATCATGTGGAGAACTGAGACTGTAGAACGCTTTATTCTAATTATTGAAGACTCAAATCACTTAGGATGCCTAATTTGGATGCGTGTACGTACGGTTATCTATAAAACATCGTTTCGTAATCGTTCCAGGGGGCACTGCTCATCCAAATCACCATATATCCGGAACAAGATGAGGTTTCCTGCAGTGAGACCTTTTCCTAGAACCATCAATTTTACAAAGAATCCATTTCCTATTATTGCTGTATACGCCTGACGCTATATATCTTATCGTCACCCCGTTATATACCATTTCAATTTACTTAAAGTACCGCGCTTCATATCGTTTGTTAGGACAAAGGTCCTCCGTTACAATATATACTTCGGGCAAAAAATTTACCAAATACGTTTGCTCGCCATTGGTTCTATATAGGCGTCATTCGCTATTAACGCCGAACACAGAAGACTATGATCAACAGCCAAAAAACTATTAACTTTGAGCTATACAATGAATATTCCTAAAAAACCAACCTTCATCAACTTTGACGACCCAAGACGTCTGTTTCATAAAATACAAAATTTTTGATACGTAAAGGTATTTTGTCTGCATGTCAGGACATATAACCGAGCCCGGACATCGAAACAAACAGGTCGCCACAATTTCAATTTGTTGAGTAAAATATTGGCTGTTAAAAAATTAAGTTTTCAAATACTATTTTCAGACATACCATTATCTTTGCTCCAAATGCTGTATCCGATTTCTGAACAACTTCAGCTGGACAAGATGATCCTGCCATAATACCTGGAAAATTTTACAGTGTACAACTTTGAACGAAAATCTGTTCAGACTCATTCGTAGTTTCGATTTGCGAGAAATGAAAGGTGTATAGGAAAAATGTGTCTTCTCATTCCTATCAAAATTTTTAACATTATAAAATATTTTCATTTCACAAAAAATCATCGGTTACTAAAAAAGAATTTAAATCGGAAACATTTAAGAAACAAGCTGATATTACTTCATTGTTAGAAGGAATTAGTTACCTTTCTCCATTGTGGTGTAATCATGCTTATTGAAATCAGGCTGTGATATCATGTCGATGTACATTGTCGGTGTTCCGTACACGACGTTGCATCTGTGACAAAAATGATTTGAATCCAACTACATTTTATCAACGACTACTAGTAATTTTGGGCAAATATATTTGGTGCACTCCAAAAGTGCTATCAAATGGGTTTCTGTTTCTGTGGGACCAACTACACTTTTTGCTTTTGTATCCGCATACGTATGATGCAGGAATTCTGAGCTATGGATAAGGATAATAATTCTATGGGATCCAACAGTACAATAACTAGGGATGGGACGAATCCGGTATTTGTCAGATTCGGCGAATCAGAGGCATGGACTCGAGGTCGAGTCAAATCTTCCGAGTCCGTGATGTCATAATAAAAATGCAAAAACAACACGTTTTTACTTTATTGAAGCAATGCGCGCCCGTTTACGTCAGTCGTATTTCTTATCTTCTTGACAAGCTGTGGAATTATTTTAGGAGTATATTTCTCTTATTTTTGGCCACGATATAAGAGCAAATGGCGGGCTATGTCAACCTTGGTTGTAAGCTGATTCTTTGTCCACCGGCTTCCATTCTTAGTTTTGAGCGACTATTTATTTAATACAACCGGCCTCATGATGTCGTGTTACGTGACTCCCTGGAGAAAAAAAGTCGAAATTCTTTCTTGGCAATATGAAGAAACCTAGTGTTGACTGAGATACGCCCCATTAATTGCAGAAATTTATGCCGTAGACTGTACAATGTCTCTTGCGCAAATGGTAGAGAGTTGCCACTCGACCATACAATGTCATACAGCTACTAACATCTTTTTATTTTATGTGAAGATTCTACAGCTACTCATTTGGAGTTAATTTGCTTTTGCGCTGATGATTAAATTTGCTCTGAGCTAAAATTTTGGAGATTTTGGTGAAACTTTTTTTGAATTTTCAGGAGAACAATTGTACGTAGTGTACTCTATTTGAAAACGCTATAGATAAAATGATCCTTTGAGTTGATTCCCTTCATATTCTGTGTTATAATAAATCGATATAAATGTGCCTATTTATCAGACACTGGCAAATACTTGCTAGTGTTAAAGCATGTTTTATTTCTGCGCGAACAGAAAACTCAAATACATTAAGCATCTTTTTGGTTTATGTACCGAAAGCGTATTCATCAGCATATCGCACAAGACTAATGTTTATAATATCAAATTACTATAGCTTGATAAAGCTTTCCGGGTGGTCGTTAGCAAGGAAAAGGGTGAAATGTAATGTAATAAGACGTGTGTTTTCCGAGATCTAATGCGATCGATCACATAATTCCAACTATATATTGTTTGAACTAAGTTTTAGAAGCGCACAACATAGGCGTCGATTAGTAACAGCATAATTGATTAAGGACTATCAAATCCGAGTTCTAAAAATGCGGAAAAAGTCCGCAAAAGTCCGGATCCGAATCTCGGCCCATCACTAACAATAGCACGAATAAATTTTTGTAACGTTTCGTCTGATAATAACATTGAATCAATTATAATGCTATTAACAATTTCTAAATTTTTGGCTATTGTTTTTTTGAGACTATTTTTTATGCACTTTGTATATAGTCGTATGTGGGCCAACTCTCCCGAATACCCCAAATGAAATTCAAACAATTTATATGCAAATATAAAAAAGATTAAGCTAAAAATAATTCAATTACTTTTCTTGGTCGATCGCCTTCAGGGTTAATGCCGGGTCATATCCAGCGCATGGGAAAACGATGCTACTTCCATAGACTGACATAGCAAGTGGTCCACCAACCATACCAAAACAATGATAGAGAGGGACTTGACATAATATCTTATGATGCTGCAATTACAAAAATATCTTTATTATCGTCTTGACTAGTTTACATGACTAATTGAAATCAATTAACAAACCAAGAGCAGAATATAAATTGTTCAGTTTTCAAGCAGAATAATATGATCATGTTAGAAAACCAATGGCGTATATGACATCGCAGTATTCGAACAAAGCGACATCATTTCAAAATTTTAAACGTGACATCGGAGGGCGATAAATAACATTAAACATATACAAAAGGGGAGACGAAAACCGTTAGATCTATTGGTAAGATGTAGTGTAAGTTTTTTTTGACAATATTCAAATCGATACAATCGAAGAGCATGATATATTTATTGATGGCGATTCCTTACAAGGCCTATAGTAAAAGATGATAAGCTATCAAAACCGCCATTTTAATATGAATAAGTACATACAACTCGATGTAATCAATATACAAATACTCACGTAGTCTCCATATCCCAATCGCCTTCCAATATAACGTATGTTGTTTATTATGTTATGATGAGACAATGTCGCACCTTTTGGATTTCCAGTAGTTCCCTGAATAACAGAAGTTTGTTTGCATTTAAACATGCCCATGGTATACTATAAAACAAATAATTATAGATGAAAATAAGACCAGTCCATTGATAAGATACAACATTTACAAGATGGCGCACAATCATTTTTACATTAAAGTTCATATCTACGATACTTTGTCACCTACCGAGGTGAACTGGATGTTAATCGGGTCATCAAAGTCCAGCATTCGAGATATGTTTTGTATTTCTGAAATGTCTTTCGTACTTCCTATTTTCATGACGTCATCGAATGCATAAGCACCAGGAAAGGCCTTCGCTCCCATCATGATCACAGTTGACAAGTGGGGTAATCTGATAATAAGATTTTGGCCAGTTAAAACTGGACAGGTAAACTTTCAACGCCTGAATTTTGGCTCTATAGCTTTTTACAAGCTAGAGATTTCAATAAGACACATAATATCATGTGGTAAATAAAGTTGCGATATGAATAAGTAGTATAGGAAGGTTTTCACAGAAATAAAATGGCTGATCAATGTGCAATCACCATGATTTGAGTACATAAATAAATAATTCAACGAAGAGCCATTAAAATAGATAGGAATTTTTTTTATACATACAACGGTCTTGAGGTTCGTAAATGTTTTGTGCGTGAAAATAGCTATTCGTTACAGTAATATACACAATATGACGTCAAGAAACTTACTTTTTGCTTTTCAACTTTCCGGCGTCGCAAGATGATAATTCAGGAGCAAGTTGGGTCAGCATTTCATAGTACTTTTGAGTTTTGTAGGTCACTGCAGATATAATGCCTTTTAATTTTGTCTTGTTAAGAGCAAATTCAAGCTCCCGTATCTGATAAGCTGGGTTCACATTCACCTGATATAAAAATCGATTGTTATTCTCGTTTATACATATATAAATATATCACCGATTCAATTCACTATAAAAAATTTAATCATCAATACCGGTACCGGTATTATCAGATATACCGGTAAATAAAAAATACTATTAAAATCATGGTCGCAGTTAAAGTAAAGTGGGGAGTCTAGCCTCTTATTGGGCGCTCCAGAAGTGTTTGTACTAAAATGGTTGATGGAGGTAACTAATTTTGTTTGCCTACTTTACATCAAGTTGTGTAAAGGGACTGATTACTATGGATTTATATTCACTCGGCTAACACAGACAGTCCCCGAACTCGTAACAGAACTAAAATAAGGAAAATCAGAATAAAAGTATGGCCTAACCCTAACCTGGTACAGTGATTTCCCTACACCCCCCCTAAAATTTCAAACACCCCCCCTAATTTTGAGGTGCGATTCCACACTGTAATTCCTACCTCAAGTATAATTGTATTCAAATATAACGACTATGACATATTTATCAGTGTAGATGAGGGGTTTCAAACCGCAGTCTGCGGGCCAATCACGGTCCGCGTAACGATTTAAAATGGCCCGCCGAACTTGAGTGAAATAGTTTAACACTTCATGTGGTATCTTTTGAGTTTTAGATACCGTCTATCGTTACATCATTAATTCATTATCACAGTTTGAGCACGTTTATTCCGTAACAATTGAATTATACCGGTATCTTATGTATACGTACGTATGGGTATTAGGATTACACACTGCAGTATTTTAGATATCAGCCGTATATTAAGAAAGCTCAAAGATCACAAAACGAAAATTAGGCACTGAAAACAGACGTTTTTTTTTATACGAATGGCAGCGTTTTTATTTTTTTATCGAAAAGAATCAAACTTCAGCGATTTGTCTTCTTTGCCAACAAAATATTTCAGTTCTGAAGGAATACAACATTATGCGCCATTATGATCAGTTGATGCGCGTATTTCAAAATTTAGTTTATTGTTTAATTCATACAAAAGTCAAACAAACATCTTCAAAAAAATGTGAAATGTGTAACAAAACAAGCCATAAGTAGCCATTCATACGATGTCATATGCTAGATGAGCAAATAACTTCAATAGTCATTATCAGTTGCAAATTACTTGTTGAAAGCCGTGCTTGTTATTCATTTTTCGGGAATTCTATCAGCTAACTATTATATATAAGCATTACTTTTATTACATAACAAACTGCGATGCTAGATGTATCTAAAATTAGGCATAGAGCCTATTTCTCAAAATTTGAGCACGCCCTGAACCCCAGCCGTGTCGTCGCGCACTTTTCCTCGCTCCCTTTTTCTAGCCCTACAATTTTATTCTGCTGTGTATTTTGGCTCGCCGTCAATCAACTTGGGGGACCCCTCATGTACATCGTTTCTCAAATACATACCAATTTTTTAAGAATACAAATAGTTTTATCGCTAATAGCAAATTATTTACCACCCCCTAAATTTCGAAACATCCCCCCTAAAATGAAAAGCTAGGGAACATACTGTGGTACACACACTACGGCAGTACCTTTTTGTATTGCAATTTATAGTTTGTAGTCAGAAATCGAATCGACATTTCGAACTTCCCAGAATTTGACCTGAGAGTTGGAATTTTTTAAATCATCTACAGCTATACTTTCTATAGCCACGAGTTAAAGTCAAAATTTCCAACTAAAGCAGTAATTCAGTATGTCCAGTAATAGGTCGAACCTCGTTATCCTGAAGGAGGAAACTGGGGTAGTCCAAATTACACTTTAACTTTAAAGTTGTGAGCCGTAGCCCCGTAGTCAAATCTTTTGTTAACCAGGAATGAGGATTTCGGAACGACTCGAACTCGGAACTTGGAATAGAAATTTTACTCGACCATATGCACAGTTCTACCATACACAGATTAGAAATATAAAAGTAAAACCAAGCTTGAAAATCTTCTAATTGCTGTTTGGATGGAGGTTGAGGTCGACATAGTCGGAAGCAAGCTTACACTCAGACGGAACACTTGAATTTCGGAGCCATGTTAGAATAAGACAGTCCATGAAATTGAGATATGTTCCCCGTTGTCATGGGACAAAACTATGTTCAATCCCCATATTTATATATATATAGAAATTATGAGTTTGGATGCTATTTGAAAAAAGTTTGCTCGAGCAAGTCAATATTAACCAATTGAAAGTCAAATAGTTGGTTCAGTGACTCACTTCACTATACAATTACATTGCCGCCGTTCAATAAACCCTATACCAAAACAAATATTTGAAAAGCGATATGATCTCGTGTGGCATGCTTCACTCGATTTATTAAGCGAGCCGCATACCTATACAAACTACACGGATGAATACTTACCAATATGGCTCCTATCCTTGCTGATGCAAATTGTGTGACAACCCATTCCAGGGTGCTTGGTCCCCATATTCCAATGCAATCACCTCTCTTGAAACCGAGACTGTGCAGACTGGCGGCTAGTTGATCAACCTAAAGATATGTTATCGTTAATCATGATCGCAACATTACTTTGTCAGATTACAATCTCATATGAATCGTTGAAGGCTTCCAGATTTAAAACAAATTGAACAGGTATATCAATTAAAAAAAAAAACTGGATCCATTTTTAGAGACAAGTTGCATCAGCTTCGCAAAGGTGCCAACTGTATCTATTCCGACGCAACGCATCAGAATTAACCAGCGTTCATAGTAAAGCGAATCGAACTTATACTAAGCAGTGTATAGGCTTAGAATAAGCCTGGTTGGAGAAAAGTATTAATAATTTACAAATTATTTATTCGTGTTCTCTGAACGGCGTACAAAAAACAGCTTGCTTTACGATTTTGCTGCAAAAGTTAATAATTACATTCCCGATAGAATGTGTTGACATAAGCTTGTACGGCGCTGTAGTAGTCTGTTTCAAAGACACGTAAAATGTATATGGAGTCATTCTCGAATTTTATTGAACAGAAAAATAAACATGGTCCTTGTTCGATTCATTGTTAATCTGCTTGTTAACGTGACCGCTAAACGAGCGGTCAAACAATGCTACGCAATCAGCCTGTGCTTTGTTCTGAGGTAATACAAAGGATTAATGAGGTTACATAAACTAATTTCCTAGAAAACTAGGGAAAACAGATGTTCATATACCCCTTGCAACTGAATCGATAACGAGAAACGAATGTCCGTGACCGAGGCGTACCCAGGATTTTGGAAACGAGAACAATTGGAATCAAAAATTTCCGTGTAACGGCTTCAAAAAACATTCGCCCTGATTATGCCGCTTGTCAAAAGAGCTGACTTTTTCAGAGGTTAATGATTTTTCTGTTATGCAAAATATTGAATTCATGACCGATACGAGCATTTAGTTTAGCAATGTTTAATTTTGTCCAACGTAAGTCGCGGTTATAACTACGACAAAACAAAGTATTATACTACTCTAAAAAAACCACGGCAATCAACGAACATAAAACGCGTGATAAACTGCCCGATTATCTTTAGTTTGGATTGGTATTTAAGTGATCTTACGAATTCGCCAAACTTCTCAATAAAGTCAGGACAAATCTTTCGTAATTTTGAAAGGAAAACGACACCGAAGTATGTAGTTACTATAGTACATACATCTTCATTGTATTTACTGAACGTTCGCGTCAACTTCAAACTTCCGCTAACATGCTGAGGTAAATAGAAACGAGAATAAGGGATCATATAATATTGATCGAATAGTCTTGTGGCTAAAATTGCGCTATTACTAAAGTACCGGTGATTCAACTCTCCTTCTCAGTGGTATGCGTTAAGTGGTATGCTTTTATTATTATATTATCGAGTATGTTGCATCAACATTCGCCAGAAAATGTTCTTGATTTTCATGAGTGAATATATAAGGAAGACTAATGCAAATTATCATCAATTCACTTGCTATAACATACCTCTTGCATGAATTGTTGGAATGTTCTCCGCACTTCATCTTCACAAAATGTCAAGCACCTAACATCTGGATATCTTTCGACTGTTTTAAGAAGAGCTTCACCAACGGTATCACCTAAATTTGAATTATTAAGTAGAAGGTCTTTAAAATGAATGTGAAAGGTAATTTGATATTCTTCAAAAAGTTCCAACCAATTTTCAAAAAAAAAAACTCCACGCGAGGGAGATTATTTGGTTATTTTGGTGAGCACAATACGTTAATGAATTTTCAAAGTAAAGTAATAATGGAAAACCAGTGAAGCTAGTTAATTTCTACTATCACAAAATTGGAAACCGTCGAGACATGTTTTGCAGTAGACATAATTCAGTTTAATAACCCCAGACCATATCACTAGTTTCAATATAATTTATTATTTATCCCACTTACACTTAATTGGGATATTTTGATGTATTGGTAATTTATTACATAAATTATGGATTTGAAGCTATCTTGCAAGTTTAGAATAGCATTCGAAGCTTACGCATGCTAGCTATCTATAGCACCCGGACGCTAGAAAAGCATAATGGGGATCTTTTTTCACATACATATACATTGCCAAATTACTCAATATTTACACTATATATTTTAGCTATATATTTATTAATTGTTGATAAATCAATTTTTGAAGCTGCGAGACGGCATAACGCAGCTACACGATAGGAGAATAGCTACTACACAACGAAGCACACTCACCCATAAACGGTAATTGCCCTGGCCCATGGCAGTAGCTCCAACTCAAATGTCTATCGGATTCTGATTTTCGTTCATACTGCAGTCGACTAAACGGAAATGAGTGGTATTAGAATTTACTAGAATTAATCAATGCTTTATTGATAGAAGTAATGAATATCAAACATTTATGACTAGCGCGAAATATATGACAGATATCGCTTGCTAGTATTCCGAAGTTATGAAAGTTCAGCATACAATGCGTCGTTAACTTCGCTAAAACGTACCAATAAATGAGCAATTGAACTAAATTTTGTTTTATATCGAGTTACACAAAAAGATATAAAGGAATCTAATGTTACACGATTTTCAGTTTGATTAGTGTTTCAGACTATTTCTAGTCGAAAATTTGATTGGCGTTATATTTTTAGCCCAACGCATAAAACACACCAATGTATCATACGTAGGAAATAAACGACGCACAGAAGACACGTTTTGTTGTTCACCAAGAAAAGTTTAATTAAATGCCATAAAAATAAGACAAACAGATGCCAATACTAAACAAAACCTTATATATACCATTACAGATACGCATTACTGAAGTAACAGGCCGGACATCGCCCACACGTGCTAAGAACACATAATATAGCAAACAATACCACAAATAGACTTCTTACCTGTACAGTGATATGGCTCGAACTTGCCCAGCTATATGTCGATGCCTTTTTGAGTTGCTTGCTGCTTTATGTACCGACTGGAACAACGACCTGCGCCCCATGTTTATGCTATCGTAAAACTGAGCTGCAATTATGCTGCAACAAAATATAAGCGGGCAGTCCTAATCGACAAAGAGATAACAACGATGTCCGAAGTGTTCGAATGTTTACCAAGTTGCGACCAACCGTATCCAAAAATGTTTGAGGCAATATACTCCTGAACTAAAAATGCACGAGCAATAACGAGCACGTTCTATTTTTGTTTTTGGTACAAATAATGCGCATCGAGGACATATTTGCAGCATAACGAACTCCGCGGCAGGTTGCTTCATTGCATGTCATATGTGGCGATATGATGCCTCACGCCCTATAGATCTAAGACGTAATGGTTATTTACTTCATGTTGTAGAAAAATATGATATTCTCAAGAGTTATCAAGTGTGCATTGGTGCATATATTTATGACCTTGATAGGAGAGGGTTTCTAAAGGGGATTTTGGGGTGAAAAAGTCGTCACACAACAATAGTCTATTGTATGATAACGCTAAACACCGTATGAGACAGCCGAATAGCCTACAAATTATCGTTTATCACTACTCTGTCCTGATTTCTCACTACTTAGTTTTATTGACTAATACAAAATTTGAGTAGCTGTTGTTTTGGGCCTAAATTTCTTCTTTCAGCTGTTGTTCGAATTTACAAATGGAAAATGTGTACGGTAAAATTTTCTTCAACTCGCAAAACATTTTGCTTCGAAGTTGTTATGGCACACCTTAATATATACTGTAATACTGTAGAAGTTTGCGAAACTTGTATCAACCCACCAACTTCAAAATTCATCGGGTTACTTCAACACACAAAAAAAGCACGAGCTTATCTCTCAAATTTTCTCGCTCACCTTCGTTCGCAACCATAAACAACTCGTATGGTCTCGCCCAGATGATGTCTGCTACGGTTCCATTACATTTGTATTTGCACCCGTAATTTGAACCCACGACAATTACACCTGAATACTATTGTATCAATGGAATTATTTTTTACGTATATTCAAACACATACTAACCCTAACCCATGGATTTTTGCACCCGCATATAGATTGAACCCGCGGATATACCGGTGCAAATGTATGGGTTCAAATGTACGTGGGTGCAAATGTATGGTCACCGTCCGATACTGAATTTGTACCATTGCCGATAAGCAATGTTTGATATGTTTCGCCACTCAGCCTTGGCAAAAGCAGGTCACCATTTAGGACGGTTGCAAATTTAACATCTTGTCGGAATGGTCTAGATTTAAAAAGTTTGCGTACAAGAATGGCTGACAGCTCTGATATAAGATCTAGCTTTCAATACCAAATTATTTGGTTTAGTCATATATACATGTCTTAACTGCCAAAATCAATGACTGTGATCAAATTATAAACGGCCGCTAGGATTAGGAATAATCATCACTGATCACTCTTGTCAGGGATCGAAGTCTTTTCAGCTTGCTGATATGAAATCATATTCCAAAGAATCACGATTAGAATTTTGTGCAATTTCACAACTACCTTCAACCTCAGCTTCCCCGATTTGGCTGGCATTTAGTACTGGATCGGCTTTTTTGCTGTTGCGGCTGTTTATTCCTATAAGAATAGTTCTGTTACAAAAAAACAGCTGACTCACGGCGGCGATACCCGTATACTCATTACTGAGCAAGCAATTGTTTCAATTGCTATAATTCCTGAAAGAGACGACCTGCAGCAAATAATCTACACGCAATATCCAGACAATTTCCTCGCGTATCATTTCCACATTAACTCCTATTCAGTGTAATGCAATGTAAGATTGATTGATAGCCCGAGGGTGCTTACTATTCACAAGATATATATTGTATTGATCGAAGAAAAGAGGATTTACACTTTAATTTGAGGGCTTCTGTCAATTATTATCATCCAAGATTGGTTGTATTTTCTCGGTAAGTTGCGGAAAATTTGTCCGATTGTCCAAAATAATGAGTTGAAACAGGGTTCCATACGAAAAAGGGTATTACAAGAAAGATTTTGTTAGGTTTGAACACACTGTTACCAATATAGGGGTAATCATTCGAAAAATACCAGTAGGCTACTATGTACGTATGTTTATTTGCCTCAAAATGTAACAGCATCTGCATAATAATTGAACAGTGTAAAAGAGATGGGATACATGTTCAAGATCTTACTGGCCTAAGACAGAGATGTGCGACACGCACTCCTAACAATATAACAGCAGTTTATGACTGCTGCGTTATATTAGGACATTAGAAATGAAATAGGCTGAACAAATAAAACTTCAGAACAATACACAGGACAAGGAGGTACGTCACAACGACGATATGTACAATAGTCAGTTTATGGCACGTCCATGTCCCAGTGTGTCTATGGAGGTAGGGCATAAGTCGCTAATTTTACAATAAATCTCACGAAGAACGTAAAGATTTATTCGGGACATAAACTTGCCAAAAACCAACGTTGGGTGAGACCACGGCACCAAATGATTAGGTAAGAAAATGGCAATGGCGTATCCAGGGTATGACAACCATGGGCACCGTTTGGATTTGGGCGCAAAATCTGTATAAAGTTTCAATCGTTATATAATATTAAATTTGAAATAACTTTATATATATCCCAATAATGCGACAACTAAACCTTCGTATCGCGATATCATATAATGACACGATGCTATGCGGCAATATGTCATTTACAAGTTGGCGACTGTTTGTTAATGTTTAAATCTAATTTCCTTTTCGGTTTGAAAGCACGTAAACAATTGCAACATCAATAAACCTTGAAAATTGAATGTGGGAATGCGTAACGCTTCAATCAACGGCTGATTAATATAAATCATAGCAATCTACATGACGAATCCTGTCTTACCTTCCTACATTTCAAATACTCGTATAGGTAGCTGCTAAACAAGCAAAGCCAAGAGAAATTGCTTAATTAACGGTAACGGTTATATGTAATCAGTAGCGAAACTGTCTCAACTCTGTTTGTGTTTTCACGCAGACAGAGCGAATGAAAAGACTCACCGCTTACTGTAAGCCGTCGCCTTTGTTCGAGAGTATTTCACCGGGAACGAGGCCAAGACTGTGTGCCTTTTTGGTTTTGTCGGTTCACGCGAATTGAACACCCTGACTAGGATTTACATATTTATCCCGAGGTGTAGGGGAAGAAAGCCGATAAAACGACTTGATCATAGGGCAAACTGTTGTGTCGTGAACTCGGTTAATAGACGATGTTTGTAGATAATCAGAATGGATTACTCGCGCCTCTCGCTCGTTTCATTGTCCTTTGAGTAACCAAACCAGTTCTAGGAAAGTTTATCATTGTGTTAAGTTATTGTCTGAATTCTGAGATAGTAGTACTGAAGTTTACTAGTATACCGAGGGAAATATCATTACCAATATATATACTGACATTAGATCACATCAACCTACCGCGAAGAAAGGATTAACTGGATAAATCTCAATATCCTACTTGAACTGGATACAAATCCTTTATTACAAAAATGATTTGTTTGCATTTGGTGTCTAATGCAATGTTCTTGTGAGAAGATTTTGGTAACAACATCAAGTTCAAAATTGCGTTAGAAAACAGGCAAATAGAAACACAGATGATATCGAAAAATATATATTTACTGGGTCCGTAAATTGTTTCTACACTTTACCTTTGCACCTGACTTTAGTTAGCGATAACAAACAGTAGTGAACCACCTGCTACTTAAAAGCACCGATAGATAGCTAACTTATTATACTCTGTCGCAGCTTTTCATGAGTTAATATTTAATTACCAGCTACCGCAACTAAATTTTCGGTCCATCGAGTTATATCCATCTACGCAATTAAGAAAACACCCAAAACGAGATAATGCTCAAAACCATGCCCAGGTGAGTGAAAAGGTGGTACTGGCAGTTAGCAAGATTTCCATTGTTATTGGAATTTCGAATTGGAATAATAGCCCATGCGATGTTTAGGTCTAACACACAACTACCGGTATATCCCTATTCCCCGAAATATTTTAATTCATCATATATTCCATATTAATTGTGTGATATATATTTCATGAATATAAACAAGGCATAATTAACAAAATCTTGAACTTCAATATCAGGCATTGGCAAAAACACAAAGAAGCAAGTGTGAAGAACCTTGTACCCTTTTGAACCTTAGGAATTAAGAGCAAAGTCGAATGCATAAGATAAGAACAATTTGCTCATGTAAATGGTACAAGGGTAAGGTAAGCATTACTAAATGAAACCTTAGATAAGAAGATTTGAAATAATGTGAGACACCACAATAAGAGAATACAGCCAGCTGGTGTGTAACAGGCATTATCGATGTAAACATTACATGGCTGAATAGTACTTCAAATACAATAGCCCACTGAAAGTACGAGAAGCACGATGCAAGATTGCAAAAATAGGGGGTTTGAACTTCAAAACAACCCACTTTTTTGAGACACCAGAACAAGAATCTTACAATTATCCATTATGCAGTTAATCGACTCCAAAAATGCAATTTTATAGAAATTTTTTAGTTTCGATATGATACCCATGTAATTGCATGTGGATGTCTTACTTTTGAATAAGATATAAACTAAGAAATATCATCAGACTGAATTTATAAGACATGGTTTGGCTGCAAAATGTGAGGCATAGACTACTATTGGAATTGATAGCAATGAAGGATCCTTAAATAGAATCTCACGTAACACTAAATTTATCTAACGATTTTTATAAAAAAAATTGAATTATGTAAGTAGATGTAATAATTAATTGGAAGTGCAAAAAACAAGCTTTTCCAGCAACACAAATATTTCATGCAATTTATTAAGATAATATATAGTTGAAGCGTCGTGCAATTCTTGATGGCCGATATTCTGAAATCTGGAAAAAGTTTAAAACTCAATAGTTTATTTTATTCAGAAACATTACTCATACAATAATTTTTGAAGATAAGTTTATTATCTAGATTTTGTCTATCTGTTTTTTTAAATAAATAATGAAAATATTCAAGTAATAATGATCAATACCATACCTAGGTTGTTTTGATGAAGTTGATCAAATTGTTGGTTGAATCATCATGATTTGTTACAGGACCACATTCCGATAGCTGCGGTTCGATAACTTTCGCAAGTTGTTTTCCTAGTTCAACTCTGTATGAATTGTTAAACATTTCATTTTAGTGATTAATAAATAAAATCCTTGATATTTAGTTTAGTACTGGCAATAATAACACATGTCACTGACCATGTGACCACACTTCGTAGAACATGGCAAGTTGATTTTTGAACGTTGTTTTGAATTTTGGAAACTTTAGATTTTTAAAACCACACACTCGCATCAATCAGAATTTAGGTGACACGATCATCAGATCCTCATAAATTTTTATGTATAAATAATAGAATAAATAATTATTCTATAGTATTATTGAATATTTGAAAAACCAAGATTGAATTATCACTCTTTCTCCTATTTTTTACAAACAAAAAAAATGCTCAGAGCAAGGTCATGTACTTATACCAAGAAGAAAAAAAGTAAATTTCTGAGCAAAGTTACAGCAAATTACTGAAAGGACAAAGAGCGACAGACACTATAAAGACTTATAGATGTGAATTGTGAATTAGTAAATACTAATTGGCAGGAACTTGAAGCAGCTATGGTCAATATGATCAGAAAAATAGCTACGATATAGTGTATTTCACAGAACTGAAGTTTTTGGAAATTGACATGAACTGGCAACATACATATGGAATAAGAGTATGATGGACTTACCCCCACTGGTCATATGAATTGATGTCCCAAATGATTCCTTGCACAAATATCTTGTGTTCGTACATAGCTATTAAAGCACCCAATGTGTACGGTGTTAACTTCTTAAACAGGATGGAGTTGGTAGGCTTGTTCCCTTCAAACACCTGAACAGATAAGTGTAGGAAATAATGCCGAAAACATCCAATGAATGGGCAAATGATGCCATGTTAAAAATACAATACCTTGAATGGTAGGATCTGTCCGAGAGCATCAGAACTAGTTCCAGCTTTCATTAGTTCTTCTCTCGCTTCATCTGTAGTTTTTCCTTTCATCAAAGCTTCAGTTTGTGCAAGAAAATTAGCTAGAAGAATCTGATGCCATAGATTTAAATATAAATATCAAGATTAGATATTGGCAAAATGATTAATTATTGGTATAGGAAAACTGGTCCAGATTCTTACATATCTTCTGATTATGTAGTTATGCATACATAGTTACCGTTCTGAATTGTTTATTTTCTATAAAAAGGTGATCCATTAAATTAGATAGTTGTTTTCAATTACTCTTTGGTTCAAGATATTATTACTAATAAAAAATTCTCAAATTGAGTTCAAATTAATTTATTAATACCGTACTTCAGAATAGATTATTAAATTGAAGGTCATGCATATCCTCGTTCCTATTTACAGCATTGGCCATTTGTTGAAAAACCCCAGAAAAAGAATTTTTTTTATAAATTGCGATCAGTGAATGCAAAGAATTAATGATCTACCTACATACTTGTTGGCCTAAAAGTTAGAGCTTTGGATCTATTTATGTTGGCTTCGCAACTTGAAGATCTTGGATTCAAACGCCATGTACAAAACTATCCAGAGTGTAACAATAGTAATAGTCTGGAATATTTTGTTTCTTCCAAAAATTAGGCCATTCATTTAATTTAAAAATATAATGTTCACCCTGTGATGCTTTCCATCAGCTACTGGATTATGAGTTTCAACAGGAGCTAAGAAATCCGCAGGTATAAGTTTAGTTCCTTGATGTATAAGTTGATAAAATGCATGCTGACCATTTGTGCCAGGCTCTCCCCAAACAACAGGACCAGTAGAATAGTCAACCTTAGATCCAGCACGAGTCACAAATTTGCCATTAGATTCCATGTCACCCTGAAATTTAGAAAATCAATGATGAATGAATAAAAATAATTGAGTGTTAGGCGAATACAATATTACAGCACGAAAATCTAACAAGTTGTCTGTTCTTTTAGATTCTTCCATAGAAGCAGCAACTTGTGACTTTTAGGTAGATATTTTCATGGGTACTCCCGAAGTACGTGAACCAAGATGGCGGACACTGGAACGTAGTATGCGTACCAGGTTAGGGTTAGGCAATAATTTTTTTTCTAATTTTCCTTATTTCAGTTCTATTACGAGTTCGGGGACTATCTAAGTGACTTCTGAAGTATTTGTATCTGAAATTATGGCGTGACCCTAACCTGGTATACATACTAAGTTCTGGTGTCCGCCATCTTAGTTCACATACTCCGGGAGTAATTTTCTTGAGCGAATATCCATAAGAAATATACATGTATGAGTTTTCTCTCAGATGACTCTTAAATTGTTGTGAATATATACTATGAAAATGCCAAACCATGAATCCAGAGTTTTGTATTCCAGACCACCAAACAACTCACAAGCAAAGGCAAAAAAAAAGTTTCGAGACACAATGGGCAATCAATCCAATCACTCTTCATGTAAACTCAACATTCAAAACATGATATACTGTACCTGTTGAAAATATGCTGCAAATCTGTGCATGTATTGATCATAGGGCAGCATAGCATGGGTCTGTGCATCAAAGAAGTTGTTGTACCATACTCCCAAAACAGCTAAGATCACTGGGATATTTTTAACAATTGGAGTTTCTTTGAAATGAGAGTCCATGAAATGAGCACCGGCAAGCAGACGTTCGAAGTTGTCGAAACCTAGAAAGTTTTGGATTTTCAACATTTTGTTGCTGAATAAGGCAGTGCTTTTAAAGCATCTCCCACCACTTGAGATTTATTAAATTTGGGGTTCCAGAAGTTTTGATACTATAAGAAATCTGCCATACTGATCGTTACTTTTGTCTCACATAATTCTTTAAATTACAATCAGTAAATTATTAGCACATAATTTTGAGAATTTATTTACTGTTTTCTCATTTTTAAATATTGATCTAATGCCAAAAAAGTCGTTACCCTGAGTTAAGTCTTACTGGCGGTTGAATGGGGACTTAGTCCCATCAAGCCTTTGTTAAATGGTGGAGCCTCACTCGAAGCGAGTCATGACCTAAACACTTATTATATTATAATACCAACCTATATTCAGAGAAATTGAAAGACCGATTGCTGACCACAGTGAATATCTTCCACCAACCCACTGGAATAATAAAATTCAGATTCAATTATATAAAGTTATTTCAACATAGGCAAAACAGAACAATCCACTTGTCATCCTGAAATATTATTTTTTAAATACGAAATCATTGGATAATTTTCAAGAGTAATTTGGATAGTCAATATTGGGTATTCAAATTAACTATAATCATTGTTTGCAGTTTTCAGAAGTTAAATCAGACTGAAAATCCAAATTCAATATATCAAAATGACGTATTATTTATTTTCAAATGCAAATATTGTGAAGCGATTTCTAAAACCGACAATTCTACAAATATATTAAATAAAACTATTTCGAACATGCCCAAATCGTTGGCTCATTCAAATTACAAAAATCAATATAATGTAATTTTGCTATGAAATAAAAAAACTTACATCCCAGAATTCGAACATGTTTTTTGTATCGATTCCAAACTCTGAAACTTTCTGACCATTTGTAGAGAGAGCAACAAAATGTTTTGCAACAGACTCTAATTTCCCCCCAGTTTTCTCTAATAGCCAATTTTTTGCTGAAGTTGCGTTTGTGATCGTTTCCTGTGTGGTGAAAGTCTGTAAAAAATATTGTCATATGACAGGGACGCCAAACCACTGACCCGTGGGTCACAAACTGACCCATCGCGTTTTATTCGTGACCCGCCAAGGCACGAATAAAATAAAAAAATGCCGGGAATGGTTGGGATGGCTTATATTCAAATTGTTAATTTCCGGTGAGGTAATTTTCAAAATCCTAATATTGGACGAATGTCTGCACCGCTGTGTGCCCTTATTCAGCTATTAGCTCTGACATCGTTTACGACATAACAATGCAATTCTTTGGAACCGTAAAATAATTTGCCGCATCATCCTAAACGTTTGTGGTAATTCATATGCGTGTTTTCGTACTCTAATTTCATAAAATCGAGTGCCATAAAAAGTCCCTGATACAAGTGCTGTATAAGTAAAGCCCTAAACTACACCAACACAAACAGAACTGTTGTATCATGATTTGTTTCAGAAGTTTTTTATAGATACAAACATTGATTAAATATCTGTGATATAATATAATTTTGACCCATTCATTGAAAAAGGTTCGCCATCCCTGTCATATGATTAGAAGTAGAAGTTTCCATTTAATTCATATTTCTAACTAGTAGTGACTGCATCTTGATCGAGACAGTGGTACTAAACAGTGCGCCACAAGATGATTGAGTACATTGCATAATATCAGACCATTTCTAAAAAATACCATCTGTCTACATCTAGAATTGACATAAAATGATTGAATCCGTTAAAAGCAATGTTGCCAAATGAGAGTACCATTGACATTGGCTAGAAATGTTATGATTAGGGCTGGGAATGGTTAACCGGTTAATTGGTACAAATCATCTCAGGTACAAATTATCTTGATAATGTACAATTTTTTCGAAAATGATTACATCATCGCAAATTAATCTTCTGTGGCGTTTAATTAGAAAGAATATCACTAACTGTATTGGTAAGGACCCGATAAATGTGAAAAATAATTGAAGTACCAAGATTGCTAATTATGAAAATTTGACAATGATAAATTCAGAATCTGTTTTTCTTTATGATATCTCAGAGTAGAATTCGCACGTGGAACACTGAAAATTTGTGACATAAATGAAATTTAATAACGGGTTCGGGTTTTAGTAAAATATTTCCATATGTCCTAAGCAGGCTGCATATCTCGTTCAGCAGAGCGATAAGATCACACGAAATTTCTTTGTAACCATTGTGATGTAACAAGCTAAAATTATAAATTATTACGTCAACGTTAACCGGTTAATTTTGACCGATTAATGGGTAAAGTGTTTCCCCTGAAATTCCCAGCCCTAGTAATGATCATTTACACATAGAAAATCAAAAGTTTGCGCATCACAGTGATCAAATGTGCATATGTTACAGTCGGTACATGATAATCAATACCAGAAAGCAGAAATAAATTTAGTTAGCAGTTAGGTTCCAGCTACTCAAATCAACATATTAAAACATAATAATGGAAAAAATCAACACAAAATAGAATGGTTGACACTTGAGCAGACACATAAAAAGGTTTGTTCAAACAGAGTAAGCAACATAATTTTGTAAATAACATAATCAAAATAAGCATTTTCCTTGTTATTATTGAATTCAATTATAAATATTCGAAAACAACTCTTTCGAGAAAAAAAACCCAAAATATTATTCAATGATTAATTATAAAATCTCACCTTGGAAGCAACAATAAACAGAGTTGTCTCATAGTCCAATTTGTCCAGGACGGTTTGAATATGAGTTCCATCAATATTGGATACAAAATGAGCTCTCGGCCCATCTTTTGAATATGGCTTCAAAGCTTCAGTTACCATAAGAGGTCCCTGAAATATAGTTGATAAAAAAATGGCCTCGACTTGCAGACTATAAAAAATCTTGTTTATAAAATAAACAAGTAAAAAAAAATTACAACCATATATGTTTGAATAGCCAGGGCAGTCTATGTTTATATGAAACTAATCAAGGCTGAAAGTCATTTTGATTTTTGTAATTTAATAAATAAGGAGTTGTAGTTTAAAATGCATTTTTTCATGGGTATCCCCAGAATATATTTCACATGTTTTTCACCCTATTTGCCAGATTGAAAAAGAGTAGATCTGAGTATATTTCATCCCAGTTTTAAAAAGCAACGACTCTTTTGTTACCAATCTACGGGACTAATCAAATTCATTTATAAAACCTTAGTTAATGTAACTAATTTCATTTTTGTGAATTTAAATTAAACTAAGTTATTGATTACTCACCAGATCAGATCCACCAATGCCAATGTTAACAATATTCGTGATTGACTTTCCTGTGTATCCTTTCCATTCTCCAGATCTCACAGACTAAAACAAAAAATCACTTCAGCCTCTAATATTTATTAGCAAATGAAAATTAGAGCATAATTCGATGGTGTTCGACAAACTGCGGTGAGCAACCCAATTTTTTTGTGGTCCTCGAATTGCTCAAAAATTTATCATCATACTCACACAGATGTGTGTCACAAAAATATTACACGGCGATCATTTTGTAGTAAGTACGATGAGTCGTTTACTTGCCGAGCATGCATAAGATCGGCAAATTGCGGTCAGCAAACAATTTTTTGTGGCGCTCGAATTGCTCAAAAATTTATCATCATACCCACACGCATCTGTGTCACAACTCACAACAATGGCTGTTGTATAGCGATCGTTTTGTAGTAAGTAGCATCAGTCGTTTACGTGCCGAACATGCATACCGTTAGTTGCAGGTGCACTATAATTTCAAGTTCAATGAGGTGATATTATAGTCGAGAATCGATGCAGCCTGCACGCTACCATCAATGTGCATATTTGGCCCAGTAGTACATAGTTTGCCGACCATTGCCTTAATTGCTGTGTTGCCATCGTCAAGTTTGGAACCCATGGGAGTAATTATTAAAAGTTGAAAGAAATCAATTTATGCATTGTACGAACCGAAGTCAATGTGTAAAACATTGGACTTTCTCTATGCTTTCTATGTTTTTGTTATTTTTTTCTCTTCTATTCTCATATTTGCCAGTATCTGGGCATATAGCTCAACCATTTATGCTTGCAAGTCACAAATTTTCATGTTATAAATCTAAACTTCTTGTATGTTTTCCCAACCAGTGTCCAAAATATTACGAAAAATTGAATTCGGAACTAATGAAATTTACATAAATTTGTGGAAATCATAACGTTGCAATTGGAAAGGTAAAAAAATTTAAAGATAGTTTTCCAAAACTGAATAAAGCTTATTTTTGCCCATGTGTTAAATGTCAATTGCATATAATGGAAATTTCTATGAAATAAAACTATTCCTAAAATCATGAATGCACTATATTAAATGTATTCAAAAATTCAATTTGTTTTGCATTACTTGCACTAACCCAGTAATATAGTTAGTTAAAACTCCAAATAGGTGTTATCCAACATTATCATTCATCACCTGCGTAAATGCTTTCATTTGTTCCAAAACTTTATTTACATTTGGCATAACATCTTGTCCATCAACCATAATGGGAGCGTTCTTGCGATTTCTCAGTGCAATATGCAGGACAGCTCGATTCTAAAAAATTATGCATATTTAAATAACATTCAAAATTTTTGTAGTGAATTTCTTTATTTTCGAATCATACCATAAATCTATATAATATCTCATAGTAAATTAAAATTTAATTGACGAATATATATATTTCATAAATGAAATTGTATTTTCAATATTTTAAATTATTTCCCAATATCAAATTTTTTTTGGAACCATCCCTTACCTCAGTAAAATTAATCCTCTCTCCCGAAAACATTTTATCTCTTGCAGTTTCCACCTCTCGAGACTTTGCCTTGAAACCATAAAAACGAAAGAGTTAGAATAAAAGTTTGTTTTTTTAGCCAATATTTCAATCCATAATCGTCTTAAAATCATCACTGGGAAATAAATATTTTGTCATTTGAAAATAATATGTTTCCAAGTTCATTTAAAAAATATTGTTTCAAATTCATATGCCAATAATAAGAGAAAACTAATACGATAAAACTACAATAAATATCAGTGCCAATTTATATAGAAAAATAACTCATTATGGGAACTTTATATAATTAGTGAGGTAGGACTGTGTGAAAATACAGAAACTCAATTCTGAATCGTAAAATACCAGTTGAAAAAGATGTCCCATGATTTCCTCATTGACACGGTTTTTCGAGTAATCAAATAACAACGGTCCATCCTCAGTGTCCAACTTGCAACTAAAAAATAAAATAAGAGCTTAAAGTATTATATGTTCAAATACAGAAGAGTTTAATACTATTCCTGATAGCGTCCTTCTTCTAATTGTTAGAGCATTGGATCTAATTTTATCAGGGTTGGTCCTCTCAACCTAAAAATCTCGATCAATAAAACCCCATGCCTAAAACCTAACCTAGATCTTAATAAATCGTGTAGGCCAGAAGTTGCCAAACTTTTCAACGTCCTGGCGTACTTGCTTCAATATAGATAGATCGTGACGTATTGAAAAGAAAATTAACTTGTCTACATTAAATTACGAAAAGGAAGAGTTTCATTACAATTCATGAACTTAATCGATACTACACGTTAGATTGTTTTTGTCATAAATATGATAAAAACGTCGATTGTCCAATAACTGCAAGTTGTACTTCTCTACTATCTAAATTTAGTTCAATATAAGTTCTAAATGTGCATGCAACTGCAATATTTGAGCTTCAGTTTAATTGATGATTATCGCGCACAATGACAGAAAGTCATTGCAAAGCTATACTGCTACTGATTAAATATTTTGCCCTTCGAAATACTACTATAATTCAAACCAAACATAAGAAATGCAAATTGCTACGAAAAGTTAAGTATCAATTTGTTAGTAAGACAATACTAGTATTCAAATGAACACACCTAGTTTCAAAGCTTCTAAAATGACTCACCTAAATTTACTGAAACGATTTTTGTCTGTTTCGAAAAGTTCCCTCATATGCATATCTTTGTACTTTTCATAATCACCTCGCAATAGACTCCATTCCTGTGTCTGTGTAAGTGGTGATGCCATAATGCCTGATATTCTACAATGAGCTATCTTTAAACTAAAACCTAATAATATATCTATCTAATATGAAAAAAAGCACAAAACATTATATATAACATAAGGCGTAAAATATTACCACTATCAATAGTAAATTTTATTTCACCCTAAATCATGTTCATAAGTTATGAAACAAAACATTTACATACATACAGTTTGCAAAAGTATGGCAGCCTAGAAAATGAATTGAAATTCATAAAAGTGTATGGAATACAGACAAATAAAATTACTGTTTTTTTTTCTGTAAAATTGTCTTCTACAGGCACAAAAATGATAATTTTGACAGGAAATTTACCAGGCAAAAAATGATATCTACAAAATCTGACAATTTAAATTTCGCATTTTGCAATCAACTTCAGAATACAATCCTAGGAACCAAAACATTCCCGAAGCCAAATTTTAACTCAATAAAACAAATAAGTAACCATATTTTTGTAATACTGTAATTGCCAATTTCAAGTATATTTTTCAAATTGAATTTCGAATGATAACATTTCAACAGAGCCTGTTCATGCATAATCCAACAAATATCTGACAATGGTAATGGTGAAAGTAGAAATAACCGATTTAGTACACCACTACAACCAAGCACTTCTGACTTATAACAATCACATTCAGATAGACAAGAATTAGTATTTTATGTTTCCATTTGAGCTTGTGACCAATAGTACTGAGGTGCACCAGACCCATTGCTATGTCTGATATTTCTCACAGATTAAACTTGCATTTGAAGTACATTCCATCTATAGCACTATGATTCAATATATACCCTTTTTATCTCAAAATAGACATAATGTTAACTAATAATTCACTATCAATAATCAAAGCCTGAATAACAAACTTGAATTTAACCCAAATTATCATCAATGGCATCGAAAACCAAATTACAAAAACATAAACCATGGATTCAATAGGACAGAAAGGGGCATAATTGCCTGCTGCCTCTGTACAGGTATATCATACATGTGGAACATTGTTCTAAATTTCTTTGTAGAAATACTTGCCAACACTACAAAAAGGGGTGGAACTGTAGTGTTGTTAATTTGATGTGTTAAAAAGAGGCGGTTAGGTCAGTAATATGATACATGATGAACCTTGACTCGTGTGTGCTTCTGGTTAAATGAAAGAATAGCATAAAAGCTAAGTAGTTCCAATATCAACACAACTTTTATTATGAAAGCATATAAAAACTTGCTGTGACAGAGAAGCATACTGTAATTACAGAAAAGAAAATTATGGCTGAAATCACAAAATAAATATCATCCAAACTTTTCCAATTTGCAATTGTGAGGCCATGTATAGGTAGTTACTTGAAAGAGTTTGAAAGCAATGAATCTGGTTGAGAGGAAACAAATGGAGGTCTGAAAATAGTCTTACTTTTCGCCAGTTAGGTGAAAAAAATTAACCTCAGTGATAAAGTACAAACTTCAGATTTCTACAATACTGCTTCTTTGCACATCTAGTCAGAATTTATCATAACCAACACCCACAATTTTTAGGTTTTCGAAGGTTTGGGATGCTAAATATAAATTATTTTCAAACTTTTCTCCAATCAATAATATAACACAAGGAACATATTCACAAAAGTAACAATATCTTGTAGAAAACTCTGAAAGACAAAAACATGAGAAAATCAAGCAGCCTGTTTTGTTTCGAAGTTTTAACAGTATGAGATAGTATGAGAGACCTTCCATTTAATGCGTTTGTTTTTCCAGACATTTTGAGCCAATACTCAAATTCACAAACTGTGTGAAATTTGGTTCAAACATAAGAAATTCCCCTGATTCATATCTTCCTTACATTGTATGAGCAAACTCACACATATACAACTTTCACCACCACAAGAGTTCATGAGCACATACATTTATGTGGCTAATGTCTAGGAATGATAGTTACATTTCACATATTGTTATTAATGAATCATTCAGCAGATACACGTTCCCTAGCAGCTTGTTTCGCTATAAGTCTTTCTAACTGACGTTTCGCTTCACATTGGGGAAAGTTGTCCATGTGATAATATTGTGGTGCAATCTTGATTAACCAATCAGCTTTAATATCAGAATTGGTGCGAATGTAATTCTTTGTCGTTAATACAAACTCATTATATAGAACCCATTCGGGCTTGTGATCAAGGCATGTTGAAGGATGTAGCTGGACAACTTGATTATCTTTAACTGTTAAATAGTGACCTGTTCTTTCTAGATGAGCAACTTGCATAAAAAATCCTGAAACAAGTGCTTTTCTAATATTGATGTAATAGTCACGACTAGCAAAGTCAGTACTTCTACGAGGTAGTGCGAATCGATCCATAATTCGTGCTAATTGTTGTCGCACATTGTCAGCTGATGCCATCGATCGATGATTAATGAAGTTGTCATAACACCACTGATTATTGGTTTGGTTTTGCTTGTATGCATGATAAACATTAAGTAGAGTCAAATGGTCTCCATCAATATGAGCAAATCTCATTTTCGCTTCATCAGCAGCTTTTTTTGCTTCGCTTGGTCGGACAAAGCATTGTGGGACAGACAACATGGCAGTAATGCTGAGAATTTCATTGGAGCAGTTATAGTCACAACTAGCAACAAGCATTTTTGCAAGTTGAGGATCGAGAGGAAACTCAGCCATGATTGATCCAAGTTCAGTAAGATCACCATCATCATTGAGTGCAGCTAAGTAGTTGAGTAGTTCCAATGCTCGCATGAGGGTTTCTGGAGCAGGAGGATCCATAAAATCAAAATGTACTAAATCATCGATTCCCAACTTTTTGAGCTGTAAAACAACAGAGCCAAGATTGGAACGTAAAATTTCAGGATATGTATTTTCATGCATTTCTGTTTTATAAGCCTTTTCAGTGTAAAGACGAAAACATTTTCCAGGTCTTGTTCGACCAGCACGTCCTGCTCTCTGTTGTGCACTGGCTTTACTTATAGCAGACACCAGAAGCGATTCAACTCTAATACGAGGATTGTAAACTTTTTGCTTGGAAAATCCAGGATCTATGACAAAGACAATTCCATCGATTGTCAAAGATGTTTCTGCAATATTAGTCGATACGACGATTTTTCTTCCAATAGCTCCATTTGGTTTTTTGGGAGGAGCACTTTCAAAAATACGCTGCTGTTGTTGCGGGGGAAGGGTGGAATATAGTGGTATCACTTTGACATCTCCAACTTCTGACCCAAGATTGTCGATTTCATTTTTTATTCGTCGACATGCTTCATCAATTTCTTCTTGGCCAGTAAGAAACATAAGGATGTCGCCTTCCTCTTCTTCGCAAAGATGAATCTGGATAACGGTTCGAATAGCAGCTTCTAAATAATCACGTTCTGGCTCAGGTGTGTAAAAAATCTCAACAGGATGTGTACGACCTGGGATGCTCAACAATGGTGCATTGTCAAAATAATGTTGAAATTTGCCCGCATCAAGAGTGGCACTCATAACAACGATTTTCAGGTCCGGACGTTGCTTTGTGACTTCTTTTATAACACCCAGGAGAATATCAGTGGCTAATGTACGTTCGTGAGCCTCATCTAGCAAAATAACATTGTAACGCTCCATCAATGGATCGGCCATTGCTTCCCTGAGCAACATACCATCAGTCATGTACTTCAAAATAGTGCGTTGAGATGAGCAGTCTTCAAAACGAATAGAATATCCTACCTCTTGGCCAATCATGACATCCATTTCTTCAGACACACGCTGAGCAACGCTCATAGCTGCCACACGACGCGGTTGTGTACAAGCAACACCCTTTCGTGTAGACACCGCACATGCTGTTCTAACATACTCTGCACACCATTGAGGAATTTGAGTAGTTTTTCCAGAACCTGTTTCCCCAACCAAAACAAGTGTTTGATGATTTTCTAGCAATTTCATGAATTTTTCTTTGTATTCCCACACTGGTAAACCGAGCCGCTTCTTCAAAATGTCATAATATCTTTGTGTATATGGAAGTTGAGTGAGAGGGTTGAGTGGCAATGCAGGCTTTGGGATCGGGATAGAAGTGTGGTTATCAGATTTACGATCGTAATCTCTGTCTCGATCCCTGTCGTGCTCTGACCGCCTTTTTTTCTTGTGATCATCGCCGATATCTAACCTGTGCCTCTTCGACATGCTTTCGCGTAGTATGCGGGAAACAAATTTTCAAAAATTTAGAGAATAAAACAGTGCTGGGCGCCTTCCAAAACCAGAATACACGTGGGATAGACACGCTGAAGACCGATGGCAATACGAAAACGTTGGACAATCGTGCACCACGACTTGGAGGCGAAGTAGAGATGATTTGGTGAAAGTTATAGTTCTCTGGCGCCACCTGTTGACTTTTGCAGATAATAGTCAAATACTCACTAGGGCGGAATGAATTTGAAGACAGAGTTCACAAGATGGACCTTTCCCCGAGCATCGACTTCCTTGTTCACTTCGTGACATTGGCCAATCCCCAAGATGCAAAAGGTGGCGTAACAATGCTCCCTTTTCGCATCCGCATTCGCATCACATTTCGCATTATTCGCTGTATAATTAAGATTAATATATAATATACCTAATTAATATAATATAATTACATCTGCTGATCTGGATTCTGAATTAATTGACTGGAGTGATAATGGAACACAAAGATAATGTCTTTGACGAAAGTTTTCTTTATGAAAATGAGACTGCTGCAAAAACACCGGCAAGCTTCAAGAGGATCTCAACATCAGGAAAAGACCCATCTCTTTCTTCAACATCTGAGCTCGATTCATCTATCAACTTGCAACAATTTCAATTTCCCCTGTACAATTCGAATGATGTTCTCCAATCTAGAGAAGACACTCTTATTAGTAAAATGCTTAACTTGATCGAAACTGCAGTAGACAAAAAGCTTGGGGAGGTATTACCATCTTATCTCGACAAGCAAACCAATAAAATTGAAATCATGTGTAATAAGAATGAAGCAGTTTTAATCAATTTAGCCCAGATTCAAGAACAACTTGGAGCTAGAATTGACAGCATTGAAAAAAACACTTCTTGTTTAAACCAATCTTTAAATGAAGTGAAAATGAAACAAGACAATTTTCAAAGAAGCCAATCTGAAGATAAGCAAAAAGTGTTACATCTTGAGGATTTGGTTTTGAAACAAAAAGCTGCAATAAATGAGTTGCAACAAATGTTATCATCTATTGAGGATGAACTTGAATATGTTGCTGAAGTTCAAGAACATTCACAACAGTATGGCAGGAGGTTAAATCTGGAAATTGTAGGAATACCTTACCAGAAAAATGAAATCACAAACCAGAAAGTAATTGAAGTTGCTAAACTGGTTAATGTTGAACTTAATTATAAAGACATTTCTACCTCTCATAGACTGGTTGCGGGTGAGAAATCTCCAATAATTGTTCGGGTGTTCGCTTTTGCAGACGAGACAAGAGGAATGAACTATATCGTAAAAAAGCTAACCTCATTAAAGAGAATGGAGGTAAAATTTTTTTTATAAATGAACATTTAACAGAATGGCAAAAGTTTTTATATAATGAAGCTCGTATTTTAAAAGATCAATTTAAGTATAAATACATATGGACACACTCAGGAAATGTATACGTCAGAAAAAATGAGTCGGCAAATAGTCTGAAAATCTTGAATGAGGATGATCTATATAAAATTCGATAATCATTTATTATTATATACCCTTGTTTATAATCATGAGGTTTTCATGTGTAATTTTATGTTACCATTATTCTAATGTCTTCTTCTAAAAAATGTAAAGTCTGCCATAACCATTTCACAGATAATGATAATTTCATCCTATGCGACTTATGCAATAATCTAATTCATTTTACCTGCTCGTAGCTGAACCATCAGCAGTTTGGTCTGTTAGGAAATTCAGACACTTCTCACCATTGTAATTTATGCTTGATCAGTAGTTCACCAATCAGGGCTGTAATGAAAGACCAATGCTGTTCCACTGCTAATTCAATCAGCCAGTCATGTTTGACTGATGTAGATGACTGGTCACTTGGATGTGAATATATTGATCCTAATAATGTTGTTAAAAAACTGATGTCAAATTGCAATGCAAGTTTTAATATTCTTCATTTTAATGTAAGAAGTTTACACAAAAATAGTCCACAAATTGAATATCTGTTAGGTCCAAGCAAAATATTGCCTGATGTAATGGGTATTTCTGAGACTAAGCTGGGAGAGGCCTCACCTGATGTATCCATTACTGGATATGATTTTATTCGTAAAGACTCTTGCACTAAAGCAGGAGGTGTTGGTTTATATATATTAGAAAGTATCACATTTAATATAAACGACGATCTTAATTTAAATTCTACTGGATGCGAAGACCTATGGATTGAAATTGATCAAGCTGGATCAACCCAAAACACAAAAAACATTATTATAGCTGTTGTATATAGGCACCCATCATATAAATTGGATGATTTCCTTGATAAATTTGTTAAGTCCCTAAATGTAATAAGCTCTAGGGGTGTGTGTGCCTTTATAGTTGGTGACTTCAATATTGATTTGATGAAATATTAAATTGATAATAATGTAACTAAATATGTTGATAGTGTCCATTCTTGTGGTTTTTTATGTGGTATTAATAAACCCACACGGGTTACTAGTTCAACAGCTACTTTACTAGATCATTTTTATTTTAATAAGCTAGAATATAAAACGAATACTAGCATCATAAAATATGACATCTCAGATCATTTCCCCATCTTGGCTCATATACACCTCAAATGCAAGAAGTCACAAATCAAAACACTGAGACGTGATTATAGTAACTTTAATGCTGATAATTTCAAAGATCACTTAAGTCTCGTAGTTGATAAAGATATTTCCAGTCCAGATATAAATAAAAATTTCAATTCAGTTATAAATACAATAAAATCTGTGGTTGACCAGCATATTCCCTATAAAGCTAATTCAAAAAATAGTATACTGAAGCTGAAACCATGGATTTCCAAGGATCTTTACAGATTGATAAAAACCAAAAATAAGATGTACAGTAAATGTTGTAAAAATAGATCTCAGTTAAAGTTAAGAGAATACAAAAAGTATCGAAACAAGTTATCTGGGGCTCTTACTAAGGCTAAACAAGATTATTATAAAGTAGTTCTTTCTCGCTACCAAAAAGATATTGCAAAAACATGGATTCAGATTCGTGAAATTATTGGCACTTCATCAAATCAAAACAAATTACCTTCATATCTTATAGTTAATGGAAATAAAATTAATGATGGCAATGCAATTTATACTGCTCTTAACCTAAACTTGCTTCACGAATAAGTCCAGTTGCAGCACACCATATGCACACTCGAGTCTTTTTCCTTCGTGATACAACTCCCCTGGAAATAGAACAGCAAATTGACAAACTGGATGTGCACAAGGCTGTAGGTAGTGATGACATACCCATAAAGATTTTCAAAATTGCCAAGTTTGTCTTGTCAACTATTTTGTCTGAAATTTTTAACAAAAGTTTCCATGAAAGTGTATATCCAGATATTTTAAAAATAGCAAAGGTTGTGCCACTCCATAAGAAGGGGATTAAATATGACCCAAACAATTATAGGCCTATTTCTCTCTTATCGCAAGTAGCCAAAATGTATGAAAATATTTTATATAATCGAATCAAATATTTTTTTGAAAAAACAGGTGCTTTAAGTCTCTCTCAGTTTGGTTTTAGAAATAATTATTCTACTGAATTAGCAATAGCTAGGCTTAAGGAAATGATAATGCATAATAGTACAAACAAAAAGATAACATGCGCGATTTTTTTGGACCTCGCTAAAGCGATCGATACGGTTAACCACTCGATCTTACTGCATAAATTACGCCATTATGGTATAAGAGGGAAATCACTTAATCTTATTGCGTCATATTTAAGCGGACGCCAGCAATATGTTCAAAATGGGGAATTTTTTTCTGAAATGGGCATAATCAAATGTGGAGTGCCACAGGGCTGTACAATTGGCCCACTGCTTTTTTTATGCTATATAAATGATCTACCGGCTGCATCTTCTTTCTATTCCACGCTTTTTGCAGATGATACTTCTCTTTTGAAGTCCGCTTCATCTCTGTCCGAACTTGAGACTGTGGTGAACACTGAAATACAAAATGTTCATATTTGGCTTAAGGCAAATAAATTATCTTTAAATTATTCTAAAACAAAATTTATGCTTTTTTGTAATAAGGGAATAGATACTAGTGATACTACTAACTTCAAACTCTCTTTAGGCAGTAAAATAATTGAGCGAACTAATAGTATAAAATATTTGGGGGTCACGATAGATGATAATTTAAGCTGGAAACCGCATATTAGTCAACTAGCCAAGAAGTTATCACAAACCGTCGGTATTTTTTATAGACTAAGACACATTTTGAATTTAAAAACGCTGAAAGTAGTTTATTATAGTTTATTTCATTCACGACTGCAATATGGAATCCTTAGTTGGGGATCAGCGGCCAAGTCTTCATTACAGCCAATCCAAGTCTTACAAAATAAAATAATTAGGTGTATATCATTTTCAGAGAGGAGTCTTATAACAAACATCCGACTTTTCTGTCAAAATGAAATTTTACAGCTATCAGAGATGCATACTTTAGAAATTGCAAAATTTATGCATCGGCATGAAAATGGCTTCTCCCCCCTGCTTTCAAGGACTATTTTACTCATCTTAAAGATGTACATGAGTATGGTACTAGATCCAAAAAAATTAGATCCTATTTTACACCACAGGTTTCCACTGATGTTGGGAAGCGATCTTTAAAATATAATGGCGTGCAAGTTTGGGGTGGTGTCCCATCTGAAATAAAAAATGTGTCTCTATCTCTTTTTACTAAGAAAATGAAAAGGCTTTTGCTAACAATGTATTCAGATTAGTTAACATTTTTTTTTTTTTAAATCCGTCATTAATATGATTGAATATTAAAATATCTATTATTCTTTCAGTTTGCAATATATCTTTAACTTCCGATTGTATATCGGTGTATATTTCCTCAGGATTAGTTTATACTGTTTAACAAGAGAGCTATGCTCAAATATATGGACACGTAGAGCCACATAATTTTAATGACGTCATAGAGAAAAAAAAAAAGTAATAGCCTCCTGGAAAAAATTCCATCTTTAACCAGTGAAAATTTCAATGGCATTTGGGGTAGTATTCGAAGAGTAAAGCAATTTTTTTAATTATGATGTTGACGAAAAACAACAACAACATAATATTGTTCGTTATGTCCACTACGTGTCCAATAATTGTCTTACCTTAATATTTATATAACATGGTGCAAATGTGTCTGTGCTATTCTGTTCATTTATATTTCATACTGAGCCCGACTCGGTTATGGCGATCTGTAATGTACTAGATCAGTGATTCCCAAAGTGGGCGATATCGCCCCCCGATGGACGAAAACGATACAGAGGGGGGCGAAAAAGTCGAAGGGGGCGATTTCGCGAAACCTGTTTTTGTTAGGCGCATCATGCACTTGATTACTGTACTCTGCGTGCTTTCGTAGGTTTGAATCAGGTGGGCGATTATCACACGCGAAAGGATTGCTAGACTCGTCTTCGCAGTAAGGTACGGCAGTTTGCGTATCCCAGTGGTCTGCAAAATACGGCCGGAGTAAAATACCCAGACCCGGGACGCTTCACTGAATGGACCTTTCCCCGACCTTTGACCCCGGAAGATTCTTCCTATACTTAACCATTTTAAAATTTTCGGTGCTTATTCTAAGAGTGGTTTCGCGACTTGTTGCCTGTAAAATGGGGTACTTGTTTCAAACTAGCATTCCAATTCATACCATTCAACAATGTGTTTTTTAAAAGTACCTAATTTTTGATTACTGTAAATAAACTGAAGATCCTAGGAAGACAAAGTGATGATTGACTTATTTGATTTATATTTAAATTCCCGAAAAAACAACTAAAACTAACAAATATAATGCAAAAATGAGGTAATGTTCACGACCGCGCCTGAAAATCTGTCTGAGTGAGAAATGTGTCTGAGCGGATGCGAAAGGGGTAATTGTTACGTTTATTTTTGCATCTTGCTGATTAGCCAATGTCACGAAGTAAACAAGGAAGTCTATGCCCGAGGAAACACCCAAATATTCGAATATATTGCAATGCAATGAGGAAATTAAATTCATATTCTATTCGAGAGATTCGTTCACTGCCTAATTTTTGTAAGAATGTATCTTCTTAAAAAAAATCTTTATCAAAATTTCACAAACCATGCGAAAATATTCACTTCGATGTTTGAAAGTACATATTTGTGCGAACAATTATTTTCGAAAATGAACATTACAAAGAACTAGGATTAGTGATGCCCATTTAGAAAATGTTCCAATCTTGTCGTCGTAAAGCTATCAAGCGTAATACAGCAACAAGACAGTGTCACAATAAATGTCATTGTAATAATTTTTCAATAGGACGACTGAGTTGAGTTCACGAATTGTCGCAGTTTTTGCGCGCTGTACCGTTTTCAACTTTCAAAAAATATATGCGACCCGCAAAAGACTAGCAACCCTAAATTTTGTCCCACGAGCGACATAAAATTTGCTGACATCTGGGCCGTAGCCGATAGTTGGTCACGACTTCTTCCACATCTGAGTGCACGAATCCAAAACAAATAACTGATTAATTTTATGGACTGGTAATCGGACTGGAGGATGTGGTAGGATGAGGAATCGGGGATGAATTTTACCGAAGACTGTTATGGCGCAGGTCATCAGGCTGTAGGGACAAACGAGATGTACGAAAATAATTAATATGAGTTTAGAAAAATTAACTTTGTTTTCTCTATTTTAATGTGAAATGGGGTGTATTTAAGGAGTTAAATGCTATAGGGCAAGAGCACACGGCGGTTTTTGAGAAGGCAAAACCCTGGATTGTTTCATTTCCGACCTCTTATATGATGAAAAGGGATTTTCTGCCGTGCTACTATTGCTATCAAAACAACGAAATCGCCTTTCCATCAGTAAACGGGGTAATTTTAGATATAATAAAAAGCTCGCTGAAGGACACCAAGCTCATCCATCTCCGTAAAAAAACACTATAAACTATGAGTTGTCTTCTTATTTGGTCTGTAATATATTCGTTTCTGGCTTTACATTTTTTTTGTAGTGCTGGGGGGGCGATGAAGTTGTATAAACCACTTTAGGGGGGCGATGGTACAAAAAGTTTGGGAACCACTGTACTAGATCACAATGTAGCACTGGTATTATATATATTTTACACATGTCCTCTAAACTCTATCACAATGTGCTTTTAGTGTTGAATCGTGGAACTAAAATATCTGCCGACTCATTCTCCGTCTTTTTTATATTTATATTGTGACAATTAATTCCGACTTCCTCATCAATAACAGTGTGAAATTGGTCAGGAGCTTTGATGACCTTCAACGGTCTTGCATACTGGCCAACACAAAACAATGTGTAAATTGGACTACTTCTATAAAAATCATCGATATTGTTTTATACTGTTTTTCATTGTTTTCATTATAGTCTAACTCTCTAAAAATTATCGATATTATTTAATATTGTTTTTTCATTGTTTGTGGAAATAAATCTCTCTCTCTCTCTCCGCTCAGACAGATTTCTCACTCAGACAGATTTTCGAGCGTGGTCGTAAACAATACCTCGTTTTCGCGTTTTTGAACCCTGTTCGTTAGTTTTCAGTTGTGTTTCGGAAACCTAAATATAAATCAGATAATTCAATGATCACTCTGTCTTCCTAGGAGTTTTAATTTAATTGCAGTAATAAAAATTTAGTGTAGAAATAGCTGTGATAGACTAGACTAAAATTGTTTACCGGTACTTTTAAAAAACAGAATGTTGTATGCGATGAAACATAATGATGGTTTGAAACACATACCCAATTTCACAGGCGCCAATTCGCAAAAGCACTCTTAAAATAGCCCCGAAAACTTTGCAATGGTAAAGTATAGGGGGAATTTTTCGGAGGTCAAAGGTCGGGGAAAGGTCCGTAGAATAGGATTTCCATATTTATCCCGGGAAGAGGAAAATTGATAAGACGACTTAATCATGGTTAACTAAATACTTAATTATATGGCGAACAGCCTCTCGTCCGGATACCAGTCCATGTCGAGTATGGAATAAGTTAGCCGGTTTGTTTCCGTAAGCATGGACGTACAGTTTGAATAATATTGTTGGTGTGGATCTTCAAGAACGATCAATGTTATCTCGATCCTGTCTCATTTCTGCATCTGCTTTCATTGTTCCTAATTATTCATGATGCTACAGTCATCGATAAATGAGACGACTGGCGATTTCAAGCCCAAGCGCTTTGAAATATATCAACACACACATGTTGCAGTACGGTATTCGGCATGAGACTCAACTTGTTTCTGAATATTTTTAGATTTCAACGTCTACAAATTCAGTGGAAGAGAATTCCAGTTTGAGTCCAGTAAAACCGGTATGTTAGTCGTTGAGTAAAACACAGGAATTGCTGGTTCACAGATTAATTCACGAAAAAATATTTCGAAATTCAGCATCCTCAATTCATTAGTGAGTGGTGATCTGTAGAAATAGTACTGCCGGTTATTGTTTTTGTTTTACTTTCTAATGATATGTAAATAAAAATGGACTCTTTTGGATTTTTTTCACACGTGATAATAATTGTTGCGGACAATGTAGTTCAGGTCATTTCGAATGTAAAGGCCAACATTACCACATCGATGATAAGGTCTACTATTATAGATGCAAACATAGTCATCCAAGGAGTTTGAATGGCCATTTGTATCAAATACAATCCTGGTTTCATTTATAGCAATTACACGTGGCTCACAATTCAATGAATGTATAGGGCTTTAAATATTGTGTAGTGTTTAGGAGGCTGAGAATCTGATATTGATTGGGAGAGTCATGAAGCCACTATAACACAACCACAGTATTAAACTTAATGTCTAAGAACAATGAGTCATTGGTCAACGCTAGGCCTATAAAATTTCTGACTGGGTACGCGGGAGCAGCGCCTGCTTGCATTTTATCTGTTAATATTGTTTTTCAACTAACATGGAATAAAAAGTCGGGTAATGATCTTAATTTATTCTCATATTGCCATGGTTTTCTAAATTTCGGAATAACGCACATTCTTGAACCCGGGCGTGAATAATGCGCTAATTTGGGAGCCAACCCCCAAACACAAGTTCATTTCCGAGGTATTTTAATAAACGTGCAGCAGTTTATTACCGGGTTCAACCAGTAAAAACAGGGTCATCCGGAGTTTATTAGTACATTTTCTAGGATTTGATAAGAGGTTTTCTGGACCACATCGATAAAGAATATCCCGTGGAAACGCGTTTACTTACAACCTCAGGTTCATAATGTGATTAAATCTAAGTAATTCAAAATGCATTATAACATGGATGCCAATGTCCCATCATGAAATTATGAATGGCCAGTAGTTACTACTTAACTAAAAATGCGTGTGTTTACTGTTAAGATTTCCTCATCGTCATTTTAGATTTAGACAATTCATCAAATGATGATTGTGTAATGTCATGACAGCATTTTATCACAGCTCCCTACTTTCAGGTTATTTTTATAAGTGCCAGTACTGAACCAAGTCACAAAAATATATATTCGCGTATTGTATTAAAAGCCTTACTATTATTATGTAAAGCATAATGAAGGAAGATTACTTTCGTACAACAGTTTTGGCTTCAACTTTCACATTTGTTAACTTTCCAGTCTAATATGAAACATGCATATAAATTTTCTTTATTTGGATTTTATACTATGATCTGCAACAAACAACAGGACATCCGAACAATAACCATGCCATAGAATTTAATAACTTCAATTACAGTAATTATTCTCGCTCTGGAAATGAACCTAAATAGGCATTTGAAAAATTCCGTGAGAAAGACAGGATTGATTATTCATTATTTGGAGACAATTTATTAATCAAACACTGATCAGTCACTGATAGAAGAAAAATGCCACCAAAAATATTGGAAAAGTAAGAAGTTCAGTAAGAACCACTTCAGCAAATAACTTAAAACAACATCATACAGACTAAAAGACCTCTAAGTGGATGAAACAACTAAAATCCAAATATAAGAACTATCTACACAAGTGCATTGCAATAAAATTATTCTGGCTAAAGAAAACAAAAAGATGGAGAAAGATAAATATTCAAGGCAATTATATATAGGACAGGATAAAACATGGATACGGAAAAAATCTATGATAATAATACAAAATTACTAAAACAAAAATCAATCACGCAATTTTCATGTTTTGGTTTGAAGCAATAAATATCTTTCAATCTGTTTTGGCAGATGTAGTGATCGTACTGCATCAGGTAAATATCTAAAAAATAAAACGAAAATACAAAAATGAATCAAAAACAAAGCTATTTAATTCCTATTACTCGTGACAAAAACATTTAGCAAAATCATTTCTTGTATGTGTAATTGTTAAAAATGAATTCTTAATATAGAATTCTAGAATATCATACTACTTGGATATGGAAAACCATACCCACTCAGTGATAAAACTTTTATTTGCTATTTACTTCTGCTGTAAAATGTGTAGTGGCAGCAGCAATCACGATTGTACCTGATTCAACTGTATTACTCAAAAATAATGAATTTATATATCTTACTTGTTAACTAACTGTTGTCTTATTACTGCTCTGCATAACGATGCCAGTGGTGCTACATGTGTAGTGATAGATAAGATAAAACCAATAATATCTTCGTGTCTGAAATGAAAGTATTGCAAAATTATTATAAATATAAGTATATATTTTAAATATATATCTTAAATATTATCTTAGAAAGAAAAACGAACGAATAATTTCGACTAGTGTACATTGGTTAGAACGTCAACATAGTTTGAACATACCATAAGCTACGTGGTTTGATATTTTCCTCCAAATGTACGATATATTTTCAAATTCTCGTAATACACATTCAGTCAGAAGTAAATGGAACACAATTCGAAGATAAGACTTAGAAATGTCTTGAAATACCAAGAAAATATCTCTAATCATAGCAGGTAGCAGCAATGTTGAAACCAGTACTGGCTGCCAGGAGGTTTGAAGTAGCACAAGTCAATATGTTCAAGGAAACTCAGGTTTTATTTTCAGATCTACATTTCATTCATTCAATCACAAATTGCATTCATAATTATCAGGGGGTCAGATTTACTGGCAAATGTACCAGGTGGCAAATTTTGCCACCAGTGCAAAAAGCCCTTGCTTTTGTGAGTTTTGTAGTGTTTGATCGTAGAATAATATAAGTGCCCAGTATAATTTGAGATGAATTCCAGCCAAAAGGGTTTCCCAGAGGCAGCGAAAATTTTTGACTTCAGAATTTTTGTTTTTTTCTCCAATTTTTTTATTACTGCTGTTTACGTCTTATGGCAAAACATCAATCTCATGCTAAACTGGACCTTTTTTTTCTCAAAAATTTGATATGAAAGCATTACTAACTCAAGGTAGCGGCTAGTATTTGGGTAAGGAGGAGGTGTTCTCACAACAATCCGACCTGACGCTCTCATTAATACATTGAAGCTGGGATCATCCTCATAGTCATCCAAAACACCCCTGCAAAACAAGGTTTTCATAATTTCATTTGTGAATGATAATAAAAGTAGTTAGCAATTATTATAACTCCCATTGTATTGTATTAATCATTCAATTAAAACATGCAGGAAATTACCCATATCTTGTAATGGCAGATTTGATCAGAGGTGTTTTTCCTGCACAATTTTTTACTGTAACATCTGCACCATAATCCAGTAGTAGTTCTATACATTCATAACTTCCCTGGATAAAATTAAATAGAAAATATTGAGACAATCCTATGCAGCCACTACAGTATGGACATCAGTTAGTAAAGATGTCGCCATCCAGGAAAGAGTTTCATTCTGTCAAAAAGCTAATCGTTATAACAGTTGTAAAGCATTTTTGCAAACATTTGCCTGGTATAGCTTGATATTATCTAAATATCAAAATATTCTAGTTCCTCCGCTTGTCTGGTAGGCAAAAGACATGCAAAATACCCCAGTATTTTATTCAAACTTATGACAAAATTTCAACTACATATTCAGTGCAACATGGAGAATATTGTAAATTCGGAGCCAAATTCACATTTCTCAATCGTTTAAAATGAATGTCATTTAATTAAGGTTGATTCATAGATTTTGGTTGGAAGGTTGAAACAGATTTTGTAAGACCACATTTCTTATTACCAAATTTTTTTCAATGAAAAACTGACACATGTATTTTGGCATGTTATAAACATTTTTGAAGGTTTTGCCGGTTGTCCTGAATTTCTCAATCTTCAGTGTGTTCATTGTTTTGGGCATGTTTTTATGTATGTTGTGTATCGGCTATATCAAAATAAACTTATACTTTTGTGAATTGCACAAGAATGTAGAATGAATTGATTGTAACTACTAGATATTTAAAATCGTTTTATTGATCAACAGATTTCAACTATTTCCATACCTAATGATACCATAAATAGCACTTACTCTCATTGCCGCGAAATGCAATGGTTGATCAGTATTGATACTCAAAGCATTGACAGTTGCTTTGCTTTCTAGCAGGTACTTAGCACATTCAAATCTATTTTTATAAGCAGCCCAATGAAGAGGTGTGTGATCATCACCTGAGATGCAAAATCGTGGTAATATCAATAAAATGAAGGACCTTGAAACAACAAGGGAAACTGGATGATAATCAAAATATTACAAGCAACATAAAAAGAATAGCCTACAAAGTTGTATGATGGATTTGAGATGTGTATTTTGCCACCGCTTATATTTAGGTTTTCAAATTTGGCACTAAATAAAAAACTTTATACCGTCTCTAACATCTGGATATGCGCCATGTTTCAGAAGAATTTTCACACAATCTGCACAAATTTCTGCAGCATAGTGAAGTGGAGATCGACTATTGTGTGCATCTACAGTGTTCACCTGAATAAATGGCAGGTAAAGAAAATATCAACATTAAAGGTATCCTTATCCTGTGATAAGGTATGAAATATATCCTGAATCTGTGGTATGTTTGTCCTTTTCATAAATATGGTCAGCAAAAAAGCAAGTAGGCTACATAAAAAAACAATAATGAAATTTAAAAAATGTTTCTAAAAGATTGTCAAAAAAATTTAAGGAACAATTAAATTATTAATCAAAGAATTCCAACAGCTATGCGGTACCATATCAATGTAAACAACAATCTTTTTCCACCGTATGAACAAACTGGATATGAATTATCATATCCGTTAGTCATAAGCACTCAAACAAGAATTAATCCTTATTAGTCTTGAAGATTTTCAGTAGTTATGAATCATAGATATGATTATTCACAAATTCACTCAGCAGATAGTTCTGCCCACTGAAAATTTCAGATTTTCAGGCATGTTGACACAATCAATATTAAAGTTGTAAGAAATTGTTTTAATGTCGTAAAATAAATAGAAATAACAGGAAATTTTCAACACACAGACAAAATTTATTCAATTTATTATACGTAATCAAAAATTTAACCAGTCATTAACGATCTTCAAAAATGAAATGTTGAAAAAGACTCCTTTGAAAAAAATAAGTCACATTGTGTTGTAAACTTGATACAGTGTGACTCCAAAAAACAATCCACTCTTGATGAAGCACACATTCTGCTGTCACAGCACCTCCAAGGAAGTCTTACATAGGTCTTTACACTTAGAAAAATGCATGGCATAAGTAGACATTTCCCCCTGCACAACACTCTTGACGGGCTGAAAGAACGCTCTCAGGAAAGACTGATCAGCAGTCAGCAATGGCGTCAGGTAGGCACTTGGACTTAAACCCCTTAGATTTTTATCTGTGGGAGTATTCAAAAGACAATGCTTATCAGTAAAATCCTCAAACAATGGTGAACTCAAAGCTGCAAGTGCAACAATTAAGACAATCCTTATAGAGAAGTATGCGCAAATTACAATTTTGCACAGCGGATGCAAGTCTGTCTTTAACGCCCACAAAGTCATTTAGAACATATTCTAAAGAGAACATACTTTTGTGTAAACGTCCTAGATTCCTGAGACTTTTAGGTAAAATCATACACAAACTGAGGTTCAAGTGTAATAAACATTGAATAATTTACTCAATTTTTATAGAATTAAGAAATTCAGAAGTTCTGTTTTTTCTGTATCACTCTGTACATTCATTAAATAAGTATTTGTAAATAAAGTTATGTTAGAAATAAGAAATTCAATTGTTCTTTCGTCTTTTTTTGTAGAATTGGGGATCTAATTGAACAGTAATTGATAAAATGAAAATCAAATACATAAATAAAAGTATATACAATTGATGACTGATAAATTTCCCAAGTATTATTATTAGGCTACTCAGTGATCCTCAGGCACTCACTTCTGCACCAGCATCCACAAGAAGAGTAAGTACTTCAGCATTTCCTATTTTAGCTGCTGCATGAATTGGTCGTAGCATAGAAGCCCCAGGCATTCCATTGGGATCAGCTCCCTAAAAATAGTTTACATAAGTGAAAAAAACATTCTAATCTAGCAGTATTTTGCAATGATCTAGACATCTTTGATAAGATGAATATCAAATCTCAGTACTGCAGTAGGCTATGCCGGTATGAAGTTAAGAAACAGTATCCAGTTATTACAATTCCAGATAAGTATATTTGGGCAGTCAAAACACTTCAACCTGTTAATTATACCACATATCTCATGATTCTCACACTAGCACTGACATAGCAGAATGGCCAGACTTACTAACTTATTGATACAGTAATAATGTTCTATTGTGCATTCATTCAAAATTGTTTACCAAACGAGAAATAGAAGGAAATGTTGTCTATATTCAGATATTCGGCCCGGCGGTGTGGCTCATCGTGCTAAGCATTAGGAATACGCTCGCCACCGCACCTCTGATTACTCTGCGTGGGTTCGCAGGTTCGAATCCCATGCGGAGATGATCATGTGCGAGAGGATTGCTGGACTCCTCGCCGCTGTTGGGTGGTTCACGTAACCGCTGGTCGGTTACGGCTTTTTCAATCATCAAGTCCATGCTTCTGTGCTTCCGAAAACAAGTAATTAACTAATCCCATACCAGACATGGAATGGTAACCGGACGAGAGGCCGTGGTTCGCCAAATGGATAAACCGTCTTATCGACTTTTCTCTCCCCCGGGATAAATATGAAAATCCTATCCTATCGTTTGAAGGGCTATCCTATCCAAATGTTTCTTTTGCAGCTTAGTATAATACAAATCAATAAATTTGATGATTGAATCAACTGAATATGAAACAGAATGCTCACCTTGTCCAAATATTCCTTCACTCTTTCTGACAGAACTTTTTTCGGTGGCGGTAAGTCCAATCTTTCATAGCATGAATCATTATTCCGTAATATCTGATCTATCATTTCCTGTGTCAGGAGATATCGCGTTTGTAAGGCCTCCATTATGTGCCACATATCAACATAGCTATCCCTTGTTGTCATTTGAAAATTAATATTTCTTCGTTACAATCTTTCTAATTGCTCGCCCATGCATCTGCGCAGTTTATGATTACAGAATTATGAGCAAAATTCCATATTATTTATGTAAATTTGGACGGACGACATAGCTATTTTACGCCGACGACCCGTATGTCATTGTTTACATCCGACGCCGCTCTTTGGCGTCATCTTACGTTGTACGAGTAGATCATTTACAATTTATGAGTGGAGTAAAGGATAGGATAGGATTTACATATTTATCCCGGGGAGAGGAAAGCCGATAAGACGGCTTATCCATAGGGCGAACCACGGCCTTTCGTCCGGTTACCATTCCAAGTCGGGTATGGGATTAGTTTTACTGTATTGTTTGTTTTCGGAAGCATGGACTTGGTGGTGGAGGAAGCCGTAACCGACCAGCGGTTACGTGAACCACCCAACGACGGCGAGGAGTCCAGCAATCCTCTCGCACATAACCATCCCTGCATGGGATGCGAACCTGCGAACCCACGCAGAGTAATTAGAGGTGCGGTGGCGAGCGTATTCCTAACGCTTATCCACACCGCCACACAAGTGTGGACATTACCTCAACGAGTATAGACCAAAATACAGTATTGGGAATGGGAGCGTGTAGCGGTATCCACCCAATAAACGAAAGGATTGTGTGGGTGCCTGTTACCAATGACTACGTTAAGGTAACCATATCTGAAAAGACAAAATCCCTGACAAAATTTAAACCATGGTAATAATGCCATGGTATAAATTCGCGATGTATCCAAGTGCACAAGCTGCCGTCGCTTTCGCGTGAGAATAGAAAAATACAGAACAAAACGAATGGTGCAAAGTTGTTGCATTTCACTAAATCAACTGCATAATATTCGATACCAGTTTCCATAAAACTTTTAAAGGCAGCGGTGCAAGTACAGATGTCATGATCGCTTCCGTCTTTTTTCGGCACAAGAATTTTTTGTTCAAGTCAGAATTAGGGAACGTTTTTTAGCAAGTACAATCATACACAAAAAGCTGTTGTGATGCTTGTGTACGCATAAGCGCCCTCGACAGTTGTAACTACATCTCCTGTTTTACATCCTGTTGTGAGAAAATAATTCGTCACTTTAGTAGAAGAGGAATCTCCTCTCACTGCTAGATGTTATTTTGAATCCGGAAAACTTTGTAAAAAACCGAGATGTATGTTCCTGATTTACAAACTAGGCATTCTGCTTCTCATTCATTTCTGCCATTCCGAAAGCATGGGTGTTATGCCTTCATATCGTCAGTAAATTTACATTTTCGCCTTGTCATTTTCAACAGTACAAAATTGCAGCTTAATCTTCAGCACTAAACCATAGCACGGAGTAAAGTACAAGTAGCCTACCCGAGGTGCAACCCAAATACCGATTACAAAATGCTGACAAAAAAGGTCATATGTGAAATCAAAATTATCTAAATGCGATGCAATCCACGTTGCACAACAAAGCCTGTATGACATATGTCTGAAAAAATCGCTTTATTGGATTGGTGCGCAATATCTGAAAACCACTCGACTGGTTACCAGTACCGTACTAGTCTATATTGGGTATCTGATTAGCCAGCCAGTTATTCGTTTTCAGATGCACGAGCTTGATGGTGCGCATTTATAGGAAAGGGTTTACATATTTCTTCCGGGGGGAGTTGAAAGTCGATAAGACAGCTTAATCATATGACGAACCACAGCATCTCGCCGGTAACCGTACAAGTTCATGCCAGGTATGGGATTAGTCAGCCAGTTATTTGTTTTCAGATACATGGACTTGATGTTGGAAGCCGTATAACCTACTGCGGTTACGTGAACCACCCTACGGCGGCAATGGAGTCCAAAAAATATTCGAATTTGGACAACCCTACTAATAACAATACAACGATATTCAAATATAAGGACACTACCGCGAATAATGCGTGATGGATTTCGGCAGCAGTTCTCAAATTTTTTATTCGCGTGGCGCCAAATTATCAGGGAAAAAATCACCGCGCACTGATGTTTTCAAATAAAACTCAATTTTTGTGATCGTTAATTTGTGCCTTTGTTTGTAAACATGTAGGCCTAGAGAATAAAAGTCAAATTTCCCTTCTCATTTATGCCTGGTTCTCCTTTAAAATGCTAAAAAATTCATTGTATCAAGTGGTCTATCTCTATTGTTACGTAACAATAGAGGAAGACACTACATAACATAAAGTGTAAACGACATAGAAAGGTCAAATGAATTCATCGATTCATATACACAGCATTCAAAATAAGAAGCAATAAAACTTTTATAATTGATAAATATGTAAAGTGCTCAATCATATTTTAGTTATGTTTAACACATACTGTTAATTTTCGCGGCGCACTTAGCAACTCTCCCCTCTTTCGCGTCGCACATTTTGGAAACCGCTGAATTAATTTAATGATTAGTAATTATTTTAGTCGACGATTCGTGAAACCGCAACAATAACTTATAGTGGGCGTGGCGTAACAATTTTTGCATATATATATCATTTCTAACCGCCACGTGACTACGTCATCCAAAACTTACGTAGGACAACATGCCAAAAGCAATACGAAGTAAGCTTGGGAGCATAAATGCTGACTCTCTGTCGGAGACCCCGCAAACGAGTGAGAAGAACGTTCTATATAAATTTATAGTTCAGTGCCTCGACCTGGCGGAAGCAAGATTATGTCGAGCAATTTGTTGCTAGCACTTCTCCTCACTTTGTATTGCTATGTCACCAAGATGTCTACTCTCATAAACCGAGTTTAATTTTGCATCGAACTTGCTAACAACAAGTTCACTCATTTCAGAAAACTTGCCGATCTAAAACTAGAACGGGTCGGCTGATATCACGACATTTCAAGAACGTATTCGCGGGAAGCCACCGAATCCCACCCATGTATATGCCGGTGCTAAAATCTGCGCGTGCAAATGTACTTGAGTGCAAACGTCAATGGGTGCAAGTGTAGGTGGATTCATAGATGATGAAAACTCTTTTTAGTACTGTAGGTCAGGGCTATTCAACTATTTTTACCGAAGATTCGCATACAAAACTTTAAAAATATTTGGGTCCGGACCTTCCAGAAATTATATTCCGGCATCCCTAAACACGCACTCTCTCGGCAGACTAAAATGAATATTAGCTATGTAAAATTGTTTATTATTGCGTTATAGTTTTTTTCATATATATTTAAACCTATAAAAGGGATTTTATAAAAGGATACTTCAAGAGTGGGGCTAATGATTCAAAATAAAGAATTAGTCGCTGTCCGAATCGAATACCCGAAAGGTCCGCCAGTTGAGTAGCCCTGCTGTAGGTTATGGTTTTCCATTATATTTATGAAACAGTACGACATTACTTTTTTGTAATATGATATCACATTTATTTGTGTGTGGTCATTGGCCGATGGATATTATGCAACAATATTATATTTCATGTCTATAACATGAATTGTAAAAGATATTAGTCAGAAGTCCATGTTTCGTACTTCAATACTCAATTTCATGAGTAGAAATTATTTTTCTTCGATTTCGTATTTTGTGAACCGTCTTCTGGTACAAAATCCTTCCCAGTGTGTAATAGGGGCTTCTCCGTGGTTGGAAAATACATTCCATATGTCCGCGACATCTTTTCCCGTTGGTTGCTTTTTCTTGTGCTTGACGAGGGCAATCAGATCTGAATGAAATGAATTGGAATGAATTAGCCGTTCTCATCCAGTATTATAGTTGAAGCAATACGTTTGGAAAGAGCTATCTATAATTTCTACATAGACTTACTAGAATCGGGAGCACATTTTGCCATAATGAAGTATTCATCATAGTCCGTAAGGAAGAAAAAATTTCCAGTCGACATCTTGTATATCACTAGAAAAAAATTTGAGATAGACAATTTTCTGAACATTTTAATTTGATTAAAATACTTCAACAAGTTCAGTTACAACTCTCATCTGCAAATACATAGAGTCAAAATAATAGAAGTTATTTCACCTATAATTCGCAAGATTGACAATCTTCATATTATTTACATATTTTACTATGATATACTATCAGATTCGTTTATTTGTCTTAGCTATTCTTGGCAGATTATTTGGTTTGATTAACAAATGTAAAGTTTGAATTTCGCCACTTACTAGCTTCCACTTTTTGAAGCCCAGTTACGTTGAGTTTATGCTTGAACGATTCTCTAGAACTTGCTGCCATCGATGGAACTGAAAAAGAGGTTTTCAGAATAAAGAAGTTTACTGGTTATGACAATTTGGATGATTGAGTGTTGTAGTGAATTTCATTGAGCAGTTAAAATATTATTTTGACCAGATATATACTCAATCAGTTTTATATATCGGAAACTAAGTTAAATTTAAACGAGTTCAAACTCACTGAGTTCAGGATTTGCAGTATACGTCCCATCTCCATTATCTATATAGTGAATCAAACTATCTAGTGAGTCTTCAGTTGCTCGGCTTAAAATAATATATGTATGTATAAGTTTTACTTTCATATGATAACAATTCTCATTTTTCATTATTATCAATTAAGCTCAATTGATTACCCTTCTACTTGTAGTGTCATTGTAAGAATGAAGCCATCGTCAACTTTATTGAAATTCCGAATATCATGACAATAGTCAAATCTGTTTTTGCTCGGAATTATATCAATCACATCATACCAATCGTGCATCACTTCACTAATCTAGAAGAATTTTTTTAAGTTTTAGTTAGAATTAGATAGATAGCAAATATATGCATGAAAACATATTTTGGATATTTTTGGAGAGAGGTATATAATTAATTGATATGGTGTTAATACAAAATTTAGGTTGCCTTCAAGAGAGAGCAATCTGTATTATCTAAGATTCAAAAGTTACGGAATATACTTTTTGTAATAAATTAGAAACTGAGTACTTTGATATAAGACTTAACTTAAATCTAACTCAAATCTAAGGCACATTTAGAATGAATCTGAAGTGAATATAACATCAGTAAATGTTAACTAAATAAGTAAAAACATATATGTAGCGAATCGCTGATGCTAGTTCAGTAGTAAAATGAGTTAAGTTTAGTGAAGCAAAAGCACACTTGAGCACAGCAAATATTGCCGTCTGATTTCAAACACGAATCAACGATCCTCGCTGGGCTGCAACCAGTGGTGGGATTCAACTTTTTTGTCAGTCGGTTCCATCACAAAAGTCATATTTTTTAGTCGGTTTTGTTACAAACAGAACATTGAGAATAACCAGTAATGCTAACCAGTTTGCTGATCTGAAATTCCATGAGACGGTTCTATAGAACCGGTGCGAACCGACTGAATCACACTACTGGCTGCAAGCCTAGAACTGTATAAACTGACAGTTACATTGAATTGCAAGTTATATGCGACTCCAACCTATGCGACCGTAGTGTGTCCCACTTCCATAAGTCCTTCTATAACTAATCATGTATAGGTTTGCGTGTTTATTCCATATTCGCAATACTTATACGGTATAGAGACAGCTACAAAATTACCCAATCAGTAATCGAATAGCTCGCGGAGCCCCCAGGTTTCTCTCGCGTGCGACGGTTCTAAAGAACCGGTGCGAACCGGCTGAATCCCACTACTGGCTGCAAGCCTGCAACTGTATAAACTGACAGTTACATTGAATTGCAAGTTATATGGCACTCCTATAAAAATATTCTCACAATAATTCAATATATAGGCCCTACTTACTTTTATTATATCTAGTGGTTCATACGACACATTTTCCCCACAAAGCTGACCAAGGCAAACATTCGCCATGAAACATGCCATAAAAACAGTATTCGCCAAGCTAGCCATCATTTTCGTTGGAATGCAAATGATGCGTTAAAAGATTCAGAAAGAACCTGACCAATATTCTCAATCGTTATACCATTTATGCAACCTTGCCTATGTGTACTCAGGAGAAAATCTTTTACTGTAAACGATTATATCCCGTACATCACCCAATGATTTCCTGAACGAGAGAAATAAATAGTGCATGCAACTGTTTGAAAAACCAACTGCTTAGCAGATTCGATCTACTTTTAAAATATTAAATTGAGTCACGAATTTGCTAATTCACTGTATTTACTTCTTCACAAAAATTCTAATTTACTTTCAAATCGATCAGTGAGCATTGTCAGGGTCTTGGTATAGGTGGTATTAAATTCTTGACATACTAGGTGAAGATTTGTATACTTATTCCATATATATATTAGGTATGATTTAACTTCGAGTTGAGATTGGGAATCCGGGACTGAATTTAAATTTTCAAATCGGCATTTTCATTCATTCAGAATTAATAAATATAAACATTGTGTAAATTAGCTGAGATTTTTAAAATGCACACATTCATCTCTTCTAATATTGAGGCATGAACAGAATCACTTTGAGGCTGCTAGTCAAGAGCTGAAAAGATTGCGTTCACCCACAATCAATGTCAGTGGAATAATCTTGAGTGTTCCACCCAACTTTTTATAGTCATTTATTGCTGGTTTCCGTCCGCGGCACCCAACTTGAGTTCCACAAAAGGTTTTGTATATGGAATGGCCTTTATTTGATTGTGAATTGGATAGTACAAATTAGAAAAACAAAGGAGAAACAATTGTGAACCATGATTTTAAAGTTAAATGGTAACGTGCTACACAATATATATATATATATTATATAAAGTCAAGAAGTTGGCCTATGATTCTTTTTAAATTGTCGTAGTTAATCTTCTTGTAGTTGTTGGGTAGAGAAGGAAATTCAAATTCTTTATTTAAATTCCCCTTTTTCATTAAGCCTGTTTTGTTTTTATTAAGATATATAGCCGGAGTTTATATAAGCCATGACCATCGACATTGTACATCGTACTGACGCCAGGGTGCCTTTAGGCGACTCCAACCTATGCGACCGTAGTGTCCCCACTTCCATAAGTCCCTCTATAAATAATCATGTATGGGTTTACGTGTTTATTCCATATACGACATACTTATACGGTATAGAGACAGTTACAAAATTAGCCAATCAGTAATCGAATAGATCGCGGAGCCCCCGGGTTTCTCTCGCGGATCCCTTGGGCTCCGTACGGAGCACTTTGAGAACCCATGGTCTACTCATGTATTTATGATAAATTTTGCCAGAACGTTTAGAAGAAAAAAATTCAATCCATCTGTGTTCAAATATTTACATAAAATAAGTAAATATATACTCAGATTCGATAGAAAATATGAAATAAAAAAACTTTTTCGAGTGACACCAATGAGATCACGTCATAAGCTATTTCGAAATCTAGGAAAATACCAAAGACTGATATTTTATTTGGTAGTGCTATGGCTATGGCTAAAATCGGCGAATGTTTTTATCAGCATGACTTGGGTATTTAGGCCGTGAACATCGGTGTAAAAAAAGTTTTGTTTTGGGGTGGACCGCGACAGATTAAAAACACCTTCTTAGACATTACAAATCTTAAAAATTCTTTGTGCTGCTGCACACCAGTAGTGTTCTAAAACTACTGACTTGAAATAAATTTCACTCCGTGGAATTTTATCGCAGACTAAGGAATTTCTGTAACGGTGTTATAATTAATCGAGCATTGCGATAGAGCGGAGTAAGAGTTGCAGGGACAGCTCATAATGGTGAAATTGGCAAGAATACAAATCAAAACAAAATGCAATCGGGCACTTTGCCACACATTTTATGGTTGTGGATTACCGTGGTATTTTGGAGTGGTGGTGCTTTTATTTTATCGACGCAATCGCAGATTTAATTTATCACAATTAAATGAATAAGGCAACCATTTTAAATAAGTATATCGGTCATGGACTAAATAATTCATTCAACAGGAAAACCATTACATATCCGTTGACAAAGTCGGCTCTTATAACGACTGGCGTAATCTCGAGGACTGACTCAGGATCCGTACTGCGGAGTTTCGAGTCGATGAATATGTATTTTAATTGTACTAAATTAAATATGCTTTCTGGGATATCATACCAGATCTTTCTAATGAAGACAACGAATTCGCAAAGGGCAATATATATCCAAACTAAATATAATCGGGCAGTTGATCACACTCTAATATGTCCGCGGATTGGCGTGGTATTTTAGATCGGTAATGAGTTTATTTTGACATAAGTCGCCGCAACCGCGAGTTACCTTAAACACAAATGAATTAAAATAGAGAGACATTTTGAATTCTTATAGTTATTACGAGACAGAAAATATATTATACCACGAAAAAGCCGGTATTTTTAACGAACGCGGAGACCATTTCAGGAGCCGTTACATGTAAATTTCCGATTCCATCTTAGGACCTCTCGCCGCCACCCCCCCGCCCCCTCCCCCCTTTGGGGCGCCCCCCAGTTCAAGAACCACTGATCTAATCGAATGGTGGTAGGCATCGTTTATCATTATATTGAAAAGCAGTGGAGTAATTACACACCTTCGACTTTTGCCAATGCAAAATTACCTGGAAGAGTATTGCTGACCCTGACCTGGAATGAACGTTCAGAAATAAAAATAAAATCCAAATATATATCCTATTTTTCCCAGTGACAGCAATGAGATCACGTCATAAGTTTTTGAAAAGTCTTGGAAAATACAAGAATATAAATGTCATAGTATACTTTTAGATATGCATCAATCGCAAGTCGCTTCCACCTAAAACCACTTTGTTCTCTACATCATAGGTTCTCAAAGTGCTCTGTACGGAGCCCCAGGTATCCGCGAAAGAAACCAAGGGGCTCCGTGAGCTATTCGATTACTCTTCAAAATACTGACTGAAAATTTTGTAACTGTTCAAAGAAGCAATAACAGCTTTGATAAAATCTGACAACAATATAGCCTCGAAATATGATAAAGAGGCGGAATTAAAAAATGACATTATTTATAAGCAGGAGCGCGGGAGTTACGGATTTACCTCTTTACTAATTATTATTTTTAGCATTTCGTCGCCGATGACTATAATATGGTAACATGTTTTTTACATTGAACTCATAATTCCCCACAAGAACAAAAAAGCAATTAAAGTCGTCATTGTGTAACAATATATGTATATGCCGAGGGAAATTTTTGATTTAGGGAGAATAAACACCGGCGTAAAGATGTTTAAAACACGCCATGCTGACGAAAACAATTGGCGGTTGTAACAAAATGAAATGACGCACGATGTTAGCGGCCTATTAAGTCTTCCAAAAATGTCAAAAAAGAAAAGATTCGACCCCTAATTTATTAATATGTTCGTCAAGTGTCAAATTTACAGCTTTAGTATAAAATTTAGATTTATCTATGACTTATGTTAACTCTATTGAAAAAGGTTCAGCATCTAAATTAAGTAAAGTACTTTTAACCTGCTCAGGAATATTTAATCTGAAAGTAACAATTTTAACATTTATTTTGGGGCTCCGCGAATAATATTCAACCTTTCAAGGGCTCCGCAACACCAAAAGTTTTAGAACCCCTGCTCTACATAATGTTCCATTTATTTCGAAAAACCACTTGCATTTTCTTTCCAAAATATCGTATAAATAAAAAAAACTTGTTGGCTTCAAAAATCGGAATTACAATAGAGTGCTTCCAGGCATCCGGAATATTTCCTTTGTAGAAAAGTTCGAGTACCGGTAATATGTTTTCGCATTCCGTTGGCAAGTTTATGAGCATCGAGTAGCAATTTTTGTCTAGTCATAGCGCGGGTTGTAGAACTATAGGTTACTATATTTAGCGGCACCTCGATGATAAAACGAACCAAAATAGCATCTAGTGTATTTACAGCATTACCAAGTACTGAACGTGTCATTAATGAAGCATACAAAATGCTTAACAGAAGTGTTTCGATGATATCTTTTAATAGATGCATCGACATTGGGACGTCATCCACCCGCTTCATTTAAAACGTGTTTTTTTTTACAGATTTTCGTCATATTCCATTTGTGCTACTTTCTCTTGTCAATTTTTTCAGTTATATGATATCGTTACGAGTGATAATGAAGTAAATTTCAATCATGACACTAGTTACACCATGTTACACTAGTGGTCGAGCAAAGCCTGAAGAGTCAACGTAAAATCTATTCAAAGAAAACATTTGCTATAATATCTGTCAAGATTAAATAAATTTATGCCTAAGTGAAAGCGTGGTCAGTCATGCATAAAATTTGCATTTTATTGCTAGCTGAGAACTTCTGCACATTTGAGGTGAATTTCAAGTTTGTAGGACCAATTTGAAAAAAAAAAAATAACTAGAGCTGCGTGCAGCTTTAACAGGCTTCCCGCGTAAAAAAAACTGAAGACGCGTTTTGCTCACTGGAGCGTGAAAGCGTGGTCAGTCATGCATAAAATTTGCAATTTATGATGGGGGACTTATTATCCGCATGTGATGCAAATTTCAAGTCTCTAAGTAGTGTCGTTCCCGAGAAGAAGATGAAAATGTAAAATCCTATAATGCTCACTGGAGCGTATCGCCGAGGTCACTCATGCGTATCCTTGACATGGCGTATCCGGAACATGTCCATTAATCATTGTTATGAATTTCAACCCAATAGCATGTATCAATTTTGAGAAATTGCAAAAAAACTGAAGACGCGTTTTGCTCACTGGAGCGTGAAAGCGTAGTCAGTCATGCATAAAATTTGCAATTTATGATGGGGGACTTATTATCTGCATGTGATGTAGATTTCAAGTCTCTAAGTAGTGTCGTTCTCGAGAAGAAGATGAAAATGTAAAACCCTATATTGCTCACTGGAGCGTATCACCGAGGTCACTCATGCGTATCCTTGACATATCGTAACCGGAACATGTCCATTAATCATTGTTATGAATTTTAACCCAATAGCATGTATCAATTTTGAGAAATCGAAAAAAAAACTGAAGACGCGTTTTGCTCACTGGAGCGTGAAAGCGTGATCAGTCATGCATAAAATTTGCAATTTATGATG